AGCAGTCAGTCAAATGTCGTCCTGACCTCAGATCGTCCCTGTAAAATGTTGAGTAGTATTAACAGGATTGTGGGAATTTTAGCGACACCAACAAAAAGTTTATTGTACACACAAGGTATATAAATATTTTTTGGGCATGTACCACTGCTCAATAGTTGAATCACTGCATAAACATCTAACAAACTTCACACTGAAACACTTGATCTGATTTTAACCAAGAGGCACTTTTTGTGTATATGAAACATTCAGATCAAGTTATGAACTTGCCTGACAGTGAAAATCAGTTTTCTCTCTTCAAGGATTAATAAGTACATAGATGTACTTTCATTTCCATTGAGAACCGAGAACACATACTATATTTTTTGTAATAAACAAAAACTGGCAAAGCAGGGTGCTTATCAAAACAATACACAATTTAATTTGTAATAACATTTCTTGTCAATAGGTACAGGGCTATTATATTCTACTACTTCGCACATGTTCAATAAATATGGTTATACACATAAGAAAGGTACCATCTTAGTCACAAATGGGTGAGTTAAAATTTTACATCACATTGGCAAATATTTCACCCATTTCAGTAGGAGGCCCTGGTAGAAACTAAAAGTGTAGAACGAGAACCACAAGCTGTTTGAAGTTTGCTACACAAATGCACACATTACAATAACAACAATAATAATAGTAATAATACTCAGTGACACGGTCAGAGCATTTGAGGATGGGAGCTTGGTGTTGGAGGTGGTAACAGCATTTATAATAAGCATTTGGCCAAAAGCCTGTTCAGGGAGATTGTGTTGGACCTATAGTTTCAATCTTGTGTGGGTACACATGGCCTGCAGGAAATTTACAGATCAATTTATTATCACAATAAACTGCAATTACTCAAAAGAGGATATGAGTTTAGTCAGGACCTGCAGCTTTTATAGCATATGGGTTCTTATGGCAGCCTTGCATTGTCTTATATTTCAAATGCAGGATACTTGTGGTGGTTCTTCAGAGCTATAACATTCCAGTGAGTGAGAGAGTGAGTATGTTTTAACGTCACTTTTAGCAATATTCCAGCAATATCACGGCAGGAGAATGCCAGAAATGGGCTTCACAGATGCCAGGGGTTTTACCTTTAAAACACAATATGGGCACAGTGACGCTTACATAGGAAATTGGTGAGGGATCATCTGACCTACAAAGGACGCTACAGTATTCTAGGGGCTTGGAAGAATTTTCTTCAAGACAGGTTATTTTTCAAGGTCACTGCTTTCAAAAATGCCATTTATCTCTGTAAAAAAGGCAGAGATCTTTTTCCAGTATGTACTGGGAACAATTATTTATTTTGCTAAAACCTGAGAACACACACATTATATTTCTAGTTACAAAAAGTTGCCATGCTACCTTTGATTATGAAACTGTTTGTTTTTACGTACTTCCATGAATCAGAATAGCCCATGTCACCACCCCCAACTGGATCCACCAAGGTCTTTCTTCAACATTTAAATGCTGAAGTTTAAAATGAGTATGTACATTCTGCAAAACCTGTACAACTGATTCATACAAAACAAAATCACAACTTTCCATGTAACCAGTTATCAAAACTAACAATATGTAATGACTATACCCTTACAATGTCAAAACCTTGAAAAACATATTGAGATTGCTCACAATGAATAACTCATAAGTTGTCGGACAAGTATTACATTGGACAATAACAAATTGCAATGAAATAGGGAAGGTATGCAACTAAAAACAGTTAAGGATCACTGGTTCCTTCATATTATTATAGTTAAATTGTCATGTCATTACATGACAGATGAACTATTGTTAGAATCAAGAATAGGATGAGATTTTTTTGGATGAGCAAACGAAAGTGGCAATCCCAAACATTAACATCTTTAACTAAAAGCTAAAGCATAAAAATTACCACAGTTATGTAATATCTGTACTGACTAACATGACAAAATTAATTCAAACATTGATAAAACTATCTGTACTTGCACTTAAGAATAAGTTATTTCTCCTAACCCACATTAAATTAGTTAAAGATATGGGTTTCACACATTGTACCCATGTGTGGAATCGAACCCGGGGTCTTCGGCGTGACAAGTGGACGCTTTAACCACTAGGCTACCCCACCGCCCCTTCACAAAGGAAAGACAGAAGGCAACAGAGTCATTTCTTTGCAGGTACCATATTGAATGTAATAATTAAATACTGAACACAACTGAGCTTGAAAATAATTAAGAAGTGTGTCAGTTTATCTGTTGTGCCTTTCAGCATAACCCTGAAGCATTGCAAATTATAGACGAGCCAATGTCTGTTAGTATAATGTGACTGGCAGAAAAAACATGGACAATATATCACTATTATAGTACATGTACCCTGGACTTGTATGAACCTTCACTAATAAAACATGCCATTTATCACAAATATTGGACATGTCACTACATTCCTACCTCACACATTGACACACTGTTCAATACTTCAGTAACATAAGTTAAACTGAGACATATATACGTGAAATTCATCATGTGGTTTAGGGTAAAGAGGCTATTCAACCAGCTAGTGTTATCTTCCAGACACCTCAGATAGTAGTTAAATATAGCCTGTCTCTTATAATACATGTATTATAAATTAGTATAGGGCCTGACAATCTCCGGAGGCGCTACTTCCGGTACTGAACTGGTTCTCTGCTCTCTTTGCGTGCGCCAACTTGCAATATGTGAGACAGGGTCCAGCTTACGTCCAGTACCAGATTTCCGGTTACAACCAGTTCTGGTTCCAAATTGCAAGACCGCCAAATATGACTTTACTAGACCATGCTTAGCTGTTGACAGTCATAATAGTTGGCTAATTTCGGGATCGGACATTTGTTATTCCTGCAAGGATTATCGGTTCCTTACTCCTTACTGTCAACTGACAACCATGAGACCATTCAAAGACGTATGAAACATCACCGTGTTTATCACAGGAAGTACTAAGGTCTCTTGAAGCACCGGGCCCTATTGTTAAGTGAGACACAGAAAAGAAACACTAGTCTGAGAAGTTATAGTTATGAAATCTTAGGTAATTCTATCTACATCTGTTATAGGTTAAAACCATGGACGTACGTGTTGACTAACTGAATCAGAGAATCAGGTGACACATTAACATATCACCCAAACTGTGGATGATCACCCAAGTCAAACAGTGACAATGTAACATTTACAAACAAGGTACTAACAACGAACTCCAGAGCTACAGCCAATATGGGCAACTGACAGATGACCAGTCCCTCACTGCTATGAAAATATTCTTCAGTACATGTCAAAGTTCACCAATGTTGATATCGACTGCGTGATGTTTTTTGAAATGTGGAAAAGTCACTTATGATATTGAAGCATGCTATTAAGGAACTGTTATTTGTCACATCATTCTTTATATTCAGGTCTGATTTACAAAATTAACTAAATGCTTTGACATTCAGTAATCATATTAAACCATACAAATGTGTGTGGGGATAATATTTTTCTGCATAATTTCGGCTCCCCTCCCTCTACCTGCAGTCTACTGTGTGCTCCTGTATTAGAAGTCTCAAAAATAAAAATGGTTAACAGGTATCTGATAGAAAGCAAGTGGACTGCTATTGGGTTTGGGGTTCTAGACCCAAGGATACCTCTTACTTACTGCATGAACTCAGAGTGAGTTTAGTTTTACGCCGCACTCAGCAATATTCCAGCTATATGGCGGCAGTCTGTAAATAATCAGCAAGCCTGATCACCCAAACCCATTAGTCCCCTCTTATGCATTAACTCAGAGCTTAAAGTCATTTTAAGGATGTTTCACATGAAATATATGCATCATGTGCATGCACACATACCTGTGCTAGCTGTGTTTGTGTGTGAGAGTGTGACTGCATGTGTGTGCTTGTGTATGTGTCTATGTCTGCTCTGAACTTAAGCCAGGTTTTTGTGTTTGCCAAATGAAATACCATATCACAGTTATAACATGAATACCCCACTTAGATTCAGTGTAGTGACTCCCATCCTACCCTCCTTTATCCTATCCCCTGAATGGGCCTGGAATCAAACCACTGATATTCCGCTCTCCAGTCTGATGCTCTATCAACTGCACTTCATAGGTGGGCCTTAACTGACGACACTGGTTAGAAACAAATGCTTTCCATACATATTTTAACATATAAACTTGAAAACTGTTACAAATGAAAGTTCTAACAGAGGATATTTATTTTTAGTGTCACAAATATCGCACACATCAATTTTGAAATGGACGGATTAGAGTAATGTGCTCTGATTCCTATGTTCATTAATTTACACAGATCTTATCCAATCAATAGATCAATTGAAAAACTGTTTTCAAAATACAAGCCATTTTCTAAATAATTATTTGGCTGACTCTCTAACAAATAACGGCACCTACAAAACAAACCATGTTCCACACACAGACGCACAGTAACCATCGAAACACTTAACACAATAACAAACAACTTGGAGAACGAGTCAAGACGATTAAAACACAAATGAACATAAATAAGTATAACATGTACAACAGTTTGGCAATGTAATGTAGTTATTTACGTGGCAATGGTTGCCATGGAAATCATATTTACACACATACGTATACAAAGTACATAAAGTGTTCAGACTTCACGTTTCATGCTTAACTGCTAGCATGAGATCAATAGCGGGCAACTTCTCAACAATAGCTTAGGTGGTAATGGAATCCTCACAACACATCCGTAGTCACAATATCATGGAAGCTATTGCATGCACCCCGCAGAGTTCACAGTGTGTACATGGACATAGAAGCCCCACACGGTAGCAGTCAATGCAATTTTCAAGTTGATCATGTTGAAGAAACAGCATTAGCAGTCTTTGTGAATGCTCACAACCACTCATAATACATGGGGATTTTCAAGTGGACCATTTCATTTGTTGAAGAGATTTTTTATTTTGGTCAAGAGGGTTTGGTTTTGAGTTGTTGCTGGGGTTGTTTTGGGGTTTTTTCCCCAGTAAATTTCATATTGACAAAGGGTGGGTTGATATGGTACGTTTAACCATTCTGGGAGGGTGGATCATTATATTGTCACAGGATAACCATCACCATGTCCCCACATGAACAGGCCCTTGATGGTATGCTAATCCAAATGAATTACTTGAGCACAGAGCTAAATGGATCTTCAACAATGTTAGTAAGTTATTCACAATGCCATTAAGTTAATCCAGCCCAGTGTGCAGAAGAGAATATGAATCAAGTGATTAATCCAACATCATCAGTTCTTCCTCACTCAAATCATTTTCAACTGGCTGAGTGCCTTGTGAGGCTTCTGTATCACCAGTAAGGATACCTCCGGTTGGGAGGAATAGGTTTGCAAACACACTGACATCAATGTTAAATGATGGACCGTCCATTACGGTTTCCTGTGTCGCACCAGATGTGTATTCACTAAGCTCCTTCATTTGGTCAATCACTGTTTGCGGCTGTTTAAGATGTTCCAGTGAACGAAGGTCAAGGCCCAAAATGTCTGCCTCACTTTTCTCACTTAATTGATATGTCTTAGCTATGTCTTCATTGTGTTGGGTCTCTTGAAGCCAGAACGGTTCTGCAAGCCGCTTCTTTGAGCCCTTTTGTCCACTCATATGAGTTGGCAACTTCACAAACAAACGATCAATAAGTGCACACTCTGTACGGAGCTCTGTGTCTGACTCACATGAGGAATATTTTTTATCTTTGGATGAACAGTCTGACAACTCTTTGAATGAGCTGCTTGCTTCTTCCGAGCTTCGTTGGTCACTCAGTGTTATGTCACTCGTATCCTTGGAGTTGTTGGATACATTGGAGTCATTTTCACCCATTTTCTTCAAATCATTTTTATCATCATCACTTGAGTTGCTATCTTTGTACTCAAGCGGAGAAACAGACACCATCATTTCATCATTGCACTCTTCTCGCCACTGGCGATACACTTCTTCAATGTCTGGACTATTTTCCTTCTTGCTTTCTGTAAGCGTTGAACGACGCTGGTGCCAAGCACCTTTGGAGTTGCCAGGCAACAGTCCCAGAAGTTGGTCAGCATGGTCGGAACAACATGAACTTGACTCGCTGTTCACAGAAGCATTGTCGTCCTCTGTTTGGTTCTCGAAAAGAAGGAATCCTGCCTCTTCATCCTGTAAAAAATTAGGAATGCATTAGAAGACAAATACATAAAATCACATCTGTCTCAAGTGAGACCAAAATGAAGACTGGGTGGTAAAAATAAGTGATGTAACACATGATGGCATAGACACTGGCGTGGGTAACCAAGATTCACATATCTACAGCCACAAGGGCAACGATTCAAAAATCCTTCCTGGCTCAGATATGTTCCATTTTGCATACTTTGATCTGACGAACAACACCCAAATTCAAGTAAAAAAAAAACCCATTCTAAACAAATTCATGAATTCTCGATTCTAGTGATTGCAAAATAATAAAATGAAATCATGAAGGGAGACAGTTTAATTCACTGAATATGCGAATGAATTCATATATACAATTCATTCCTAAAACTGATTCATTTTGATTATCCCTTTTGTACGTTTTTTTTTTTTTTAATGTTGTTATTTCCCATTTGAATGTTGTACAATCACATCTCAGTCGAATACAGTTTTAACATTCTATAGAGTACATTTTTTTTTGGCGTTACACACCCCTTTCGTGCAGTATGCATATCACATGTTACAATATTGCCGCTGCTTTGCTGATACATAATAGGGACACTGTTTCGTATACATACATACACTTCAGCTTTTATACTTTAGGTGCATGTACATATACATTCTTGTATACTTCCACACACATACATATGTTCATCCCTTTAGTACATGCCTGTGTTTTATGCATCTTCAATCAAATTGTTATTTAATATCCCAAACCTCTTGAGTTAATACATTCATTTATATGGAACAATCTTTCAGAAATGTTTTTAAATTCTTAAATTCCTTCCTCTCCTTCAAAAAGCTTCTCTCAGGGAACTGGCTCATAACATAAACACCTTACCCACTGTCTCAGGATTTTTGGTATGTCCTACCTAAACCCACTATTTCATACTTACAGCTTGTAATTCTTTTTTCAAGCTGATAAAGTTCATAGAATGCTTTGCAAGAGAAAGTTCAAAGCTGAAAACGTTGCCTCACCATAACCCTATCATTCTTGGCGATATAGGTTACAAGTTCTTCCAGCTGTTCCATCACAGTGCCATTGCCCTTGTCCAGTTTCTTCATGGATTCCCGATCCGCCTTCAGAACATTTTTCAGGATCCGCTTTGGAAGTTGATACCGCATTTTAACGTCAGTCGTCCACTTGCTCTTAGCTAACCAGAATGGCTGGCTGTATCTCCTGTTTGCTTTCACTCGCTTTGGAGGAATCTCTCGCTTTAACTCAGAAGTAGGGTCCTGAAATGAAATTAGATGTTGGAGTTTCAGCTGGAGTGAGCAACAAGACTGGTTTGATGCAGGTTTGACTTCTACAGGAAATACTGCTTGGTAAGATCAAGCAATATCTTCAAGCAGGTATCACAAAAACTATTAGTCAGGATTGTGACATCATCAGTAACCGTGGTGTCACAATCAAATGACATAATTAATCTTTCAGTCAATAAAGTTATTAGCAGTACTTTTTTTCATTTATGATGCTCAATATTACTGTTCTCAAAGTGAAAAAGTTGGAAGAATGATTAAGGATGATAACATAACTCTCATCCTTATGTCTTTTGATATCAAACTTTCTACTCTGAGAAATATCAAGTTCTATTATCCATCACAAGTTTGTTGGAAGATTACCAACAGTGATAAAGCTCAGTGTACCCATATCAGCCATGCAGAGATGTATCTTTACCTAACCAGAGGGAAAATTTGATCCCAAAGCCAAAATGTCAGTTAAATCCCCAAATTTAAAACAAATTCCTTCCCAGTTCATGCTCATAAAGTTATCACCAACATATGCACTTGTAAAGACTTGTACTTTACTAATAACATGGCCAACACACATGACAAAGAGGTAGTGGTTGTGATGTTTAGATGCAGATTATTACATTGAAAGAAGTGCTGAGAATGCAAGATACCCTTGGATTTCAGAAGGAAACAAGTCAAAACATGTGAGCAAGACTCACTAATAACTCTGAGTTTGACTCCCAATTTCAGCTGAACAACAATTACTAATGATTGGCAAAAATAAACAAAGAAACCATTATGTAAACCTGAAAACAATCCACTAAATGATTGTAAAGTCATTAGTTGAACAAATTTGACTATTTTAAGAGATGTAATTTGTGATAATTCTTATAACATAAAATACCCAAATAAAATATTGCACTGCACCTCTCCTATAGATATTGAGCGTGGTGCCCAAATTTGAAAACAATCCATTCAAATATGTTGAAGTTTATTTTAACAAAAATTCCTTCTTTTTTTCCTTTTTTTAAAGTTAAAAAAATGTACATTGATGCAACTCTCTCAAAAATTAGAACACTGAAACCAAACATTGCACTGAACCTCTACTTAGACCAAGAAGGTGGTATATTGAAAACAATCCAACCAATAGTTTTCAAGTTAGTGATTGAACAATTTTTATAAGTTAAGATTTGTAAATTGATGTAATTGGTCATAAAAATTAGACAAGGAAGGTGGTCCCCAAATTTGAAAACAATCCAAAAAGTTGTTTCAAGTTATAGGTTGAACAAAAATATTTTGGACAGATGGAATTCCTTGGCAACACTATGGAATTCCTTGGCAACACTATCAATAAAAGCACTTCAGCAAATCACAATAGTGATCAAAGTAATGAATGTTTACGAAACTGCTTTTATAACATTTCATCAATATTATGGCAGGGGACACCAGAAATGGGTTTCACACATTGTACCCATGTGAGGAATCAAAGGTATGACCAGCTAACACCTTAACCATTAGACTACCACACAGGCCCAGAGCACATGTAGAAATAAGTGAAGTGGCCAGTACCTCTCTGGAGCTGTTGTTGACACTGCTTGATGCTTCAAGAATATACATCAGGGAGGAGTCTGTGTCGTTGCCAGTGCTGGAGTCGAGACGACTTGACTCCACACGACTTGACAGATCATTTTGTGCTGTTGCAGCTTCTCCCTGCAAACATGACAATTCATTAAGACATATGAAACAACATTCAATACTTTAGAAATGAATGTGAAGGAAATATATTACATACTAAGAAGGTTCTGGGCATGCCAGTGTGTGCTGTTGTAAGTGACAGTGGTTCTTCCACTAAACCAGATACTCTTGTGACTCATCAATATAACTGGCCTGTGAGTGAATGAGTTGGGTTTTATGCCGCTTTAGGCAATATTCCAGCAATATCACGGCAGGTGACACCAGAAATTGGCTTCACACATTGTACCCATGTGGGGAATCGAACCCAGGTCTTTGGCGTGACGAGCAAACACTTTAACCTCTAGTCTACCCCACTGCCCCAACTGGCCTGTGTGAAAAGTTGCCAGTCTGCATTAATATCTTGTTCCTCCAGTAAAATAAAGTGACATCTAGTCACAAATTGAGTGGTCTGGTTTGACACCATTCTTAACATTATTCCAGTATATATTATTCACACTTTCTAAGGATTAAATCATGGATTCAGCAGAAAACTATGACATGGGGTCAAATTTGGTTTAAATATCTGAGCTTATTGTAAGCACAGATCCTAGGTTTCAGTATGTCCTTTCATCTTGTGGAACCCATACCTGCTATTGACAGGTGTTGTGTACTTGTCAATGACTCGTTCCATGATTTGCAAAATGGTTGATTGGTGCCATGAAAACAATTTCTATGTTTACTCATGTATCAAGTGCATAAGGTTAGATTAAAGTGACTGTTTGCCTAAAGAGGGGTTACCATATTATTATTTATCCAATTTCAAATGGATACAATTTCAAATTATAAATCTACGTTTAAGTAAAGTTGTGAATTTTGGTGATCCTTAGCAAAGTTTGAGTAGTATATATCACAGCATGTCAGCTTACTGCGGGAGGAGAGTGATGCAGGCTATACATGTTTACTACATTGGTGTAACCAATCAGCATGGATATGGTGCTCATAAACCCCGAAACATAATCAGGATCATAATCATTTGAACACAGATTTATATGTTTCCGTCACGTCCAAAGGCTGCTAACACACTGTACAGCAAATTACTGGGCAACCCATGACCTCAGTTTAATAGATTCAGTGAGTGAGTGAGTTAACAGTTACCGTCACCTCGGGAATGTTTCAGCCTCAAAGTGACAAAGATTGAGTGAATGTTATATTTAGGATAACACTTTGCTCTAAAGTACAGATTCTAGCTTTTGAATCTCATCAAAATTCTTTTGAAAACTTCCATTTGATTGGTTGGTTGGTTTGTTGTTTAACGTTGCACTCAGCAATATTCCAGCTTTATGGCGTTGGTCTGTAAATAATTGAGTCTGGACCAAAAATCCAGTGATCAACAGCATGAGCATTGTTCTACGCAGTTGGGATACGATGACATGTGTCAACCAAGTCAGTGAGTCGGACCACCCGATCCTGTTTGTTACCTCTTACAACAAGCCTAAGTTACTGAAGATCAATTCTAACCTGGATCTTCACGTGTTTTGAAAACTTCCAAAAAGTAATCAAAGCTACACGGGTAAACTGTAGGGATGTCACGATACATAAGTTTAATGAATCGATACGTATCACAATACCCTGGGTAACCCATGTCAAGATTTGATATGTATCACGTTACCTATTTTCGAGGCATTATTGCATAAATTTAATTACATTTTGAACAGTAATATTTCATATTTTATAATTGTCCATGAAAAGATCAACATTTTTTATTCTCAGAGATAAAAAGGTTCTAATTTCCCTTCTTTGCGCAAGAAAAATAATCATTTTTAACTCTCAAATAACATAAAAAAACATGATACAATTGCTAAATGTGAACAATACATAAACATATTTAAACCGACACTTTCAAAACTAAATATCGATACAGTTTACACTGACTGAGTTTAGTTTTACGTCGCTTTTAGCAATATTCCAGCAATATCACGGCAGGGGACACCAGAAAATGGGCTTAACACATTGTGCCCATGTGGGTAATCGAACCCGGGTCTTCGGCGTGATGAGCCAACGCTTTAACCACTAGGCTACCCCACCGGCCCCGATACAGTTTAGAATGAATCGATGTATCGTGGCATCCCTAGTAAACTGTATCCGAAACTGATCTTAGGGTCTCATGATTGTAATGGGATTACCATGGGAAACTGAGGGTGTAGCTGTGCTCCTGTTTGCATGGGTGTCGCAGAAGATGTGGGGATTGGCACAGTAGATTGGCGCTGTGTTTCTGACATCTCCATGTTCATCCTTGGCATTGGAAACGGCTGGAACATCCCGGTGAGGGTCTGGTAGAATCCCCCCATAACTTGAGGCACAAATGACACACCTGGAAGAGTTGCATATACATACATATACACAAAACCTACGTTACAACACCAATGTCCGCTTATTACCTATCAAAATGACAAACTTATCAAGTCCAAACTTCAAACATAAGATACAGTACTGTCAACACGCCCACATCTACTTGACACAACAATTAAGTAGTGTGAAGTTATGATCAGCAGTAGACAGTTGCATTTACGCATGTTCAGAAGTCTTGAGTCATCCTGCTTCATGTATTCATTTTTTGAGACAGTGTAAAGGTTTTGCTGAGGTAACTACTACTTCATCACAAAGTCTGAAAGAACAAAGAATTGGTCCTCAGGCAATGGCTTTTGATAAAATGTGTGGGCAGGCTGCTTTTTGTTTTTGTCCAACCTTAAAAAGGGGCTCCCCACATAAATATTCCTTGATTAGTCCAATCATCCGTTCTGAAGCAGCTTGTCATTTCATGCCGAACAGCCAGATAGCTAGCTGTGTGTGTGTAGATATGAATGTCTTTTTGGTAATCTTTGCCAAATTTATATTCGAATATACAATGAATCGAATATCCAATGAATTAGCATTACTTTTCTTTACATTTTTGTACAATCACAATATAAAACTATGAATACAGAAATTGTGCTCATGAAAATACCTCCAAATACATATATTGCTTTTAATATTAGATTATAAATTCACAGGGATACTTGTCTAAAAGCAGATTACAATGTTGAGATATTTACGTCGAATATACCCGTAATCTTAATTTCTTCATATGATAAAGGCCTGGTATTCAGAACATAAACACTATTAAATTTGTAAATGTTCATATCTAATCATGTTTCATTGCAAATTTGATACTGAGTGAGTGAGTGTCATTAATCAAATTAGCGAACACCACAACTAGTTCAAAAAGCTACGGCTGCCATTACCTGAAGCTGGTTCACGTCTCCCTAGCATATATTGTGATATGACAGGCCGGGCCCACCTTAAGCAGTGCACATGTAAAAGGAAGTAATTGCTTGCTATATTGGATCCCCTTACTAATAGCATTGCAGCATTTCACTGCTGGGTTGTACTTTCAAAATGCAGCATATTTATCAAGTATATTTTTCAAAAATAAAAAATAACAAAAAACCTGTGCCATTTACTTAAAGTTACCAAGCAGTTATATTGTTTCCCCTTTGAGTGGCATTTCAGAAGTTGGGAAGTACAATACTGAGCAAACTGTATGGATAAAAGAAGTTGTTATCCATAAAGTTTGTTCAAAATTATATTGTTTGTTGTTTTCTGTAATATCTGCAACATTTCAGTAATATACACAAGAAAATATGAATTGTCTAATACAGTTGGTCAGGTGCAATTATGGCAACAGAGTGGCAAGAATGGTAATAAGAATATGAATACATGTGTTACAGAATGGTAACAGTGCTAAGAAGATATGGCAAGAATGGTAATAGTGCTGGTATCATATCCAATAAATAGAAACCCCCACTTCTCTCTTCCTTTGGTTATAACAGCATACACTGCAACCAATAAGTGATACATGTGGTCTCACCTTAGGCAAGAGAGTTTGTTCAAAATTGCCTCTGTTCACCCAGCAGAAAATGGGTACCCGGTGAGATAAGTCAGGTGACTTTTAACCTGCTAGCACCTCACAGGCAGCTTCGGTTATCCAGGGTAATAATAATCAGATTCTGATTACAGCATCCAGTGAGCAACTAATCAGATGGATACTAGGCGCTATATATAAATGAATTATTATTATTATTATTATTATTATGTACTGAAGCTGTTTTTACCTGTCTGCTGGAAGTAAGGCCACTGCATGCCCTGTGCTGAGCGGGGTTGTTCCATGGGAGCTGTGTTTTGGTACAATGGCATAACAGGCGTTGCCAGCCCTGTGTTGGGGTCCACCTGCATCATTGGAATCTGCTGCATGTACATGGGAATGTTCTGTTGTATCCCTGGGAGACCCACTGACAAGAACTCAGGAGGTGGGTTCTGTGAAAAGACCGGGTGCGACTGTGTTGGTGCCAGACTCGTTGGGATCATGTTCCCTGTGGAGATTGGCAGCATGGGGAAGCTGAACGGCGTTGGGAACACATCTCCAGATATTACTGAGGTGTCAACAGGCTTTCCGCGGTCCAATTTTGAGATCTTTGTTTGAGATGGCTCGTTTCCGTTACCCTGAGATGCAGAGTCTGAAAGGCATCGTTTCTTGTCTCGTAAGTCATCCTTTTCCTGCTTGCCTAGGAAGAGGATGTTGTCATCATGCTCGGCTTGTTGCAAGAGTAGCTTTTCCTGAAACTTTGTGTGTTTCTTGAGCACTTCCTGAGTGAGTTCCACCTGGGGATACTGGGGATACTGGGGCAAGATCATGCTGGGGACCCTCCATGGTATGCTGGGATCCTCCACGGCCTCCGGTTGGGGAGGGCTGGGAATGGTATCCTCACGGTGCTCAGACACATGCACCTGCAAACATACAAGTTACTTCATGATGTAATTTCTTTATTGCCTAAAACCACACTAATCAAATTTTCCACCTGTGGACTATTAATAAACTCGAGTGGATCAATAATCTCTATAAGCAACATCCCAGATTGTCAGGGTATAATGTTAACCAGTAGTGATACACAAGGTCGCACTGCGATACTTATATCTTGCATAATTAAGTGACTGCAATGTTCTTTGAGACTCGGATATTGTTGATGGAAGTGCAGGAATGTGCATGCTCATAAGGGAGGCAACTGATGTTAACTTCTTATCTTCACGCACTTGCATTTTGGAATAACAGAAACATTTCAAAATTGTTTGGCAGGTGTGTAACCTTAAACACATGATAAATAACAGCATTTAAATAAACCAATATACCAATCATTAAACAATAATATTGAGATATACATGATGGAAAGAATGAACCTCAATAAAAAGATATATACTAAGAACAATGCAAAACCCATGACAGATAGAGTTACCATAGTTAGAGCTGCAGACCTCGATTCGATTCAATTTATAAGTAAAAACATCAGATTTCATTTTACTCTCAGAGTCGGCTTTTTAGCATGAAATCCATCGTCAGCTTGGCAATGTCTATTAACAACAATTCTGATTGGATAATTAGCCCGGCATCAACCAATTATGTTTCGCCTTATTTCACAGCTCGAAACTGCTTGAGTTGGGGTCAAAATTACATTCTGGTTGTGTGGAAATAATTAAAATAGTTATTCAAATATCGAATCGAAATAATGATAATGGTTATCGAAAATCGAAACTAAGGTGTCAGATTTGATTTTTGATGAATCAAACCGAATCGTTCAGCCCTACATAACACAGTTAAGATTCTGCCTCTTAGAGAGGAAATATGGAAGATCAAAACATACCTGTATCATGTAACAAAAATCTACTTACAATTGTACTGCTGCCATAACTTGGAGGTTTTGTGAATTTGATGTTGACTGGGAAATCTGGAGGTTCAATAGCTAAAGGAAAAACAAAAAAATACCAATGCTGAAGTTTCAAATAAACACAATTCAGGGTTCAACTAACACAGTGGTTCATTCACCAAGTGCAGAGATGCCAACCCTACTTTAGCCCAATTAGTATATAGTCCAAAAACTGATGCAAAAATTAGTAAGACTTTTCATATTAAATAAAAAATATATAGATATTCTAAGAACCTGTTATTAACATTGTACTCACCTAAATCAGTAGTAAGTATCAACGTATAGTTTGATACTGAATAAAATGTGGTTGTAATTGATTGTGTCTGGTACATAGTGTATTTGATATTTTAATGTATTTTTTTTTACATTTGTATATTTTTACTGCTATCGCAGTCGCATATTTTGTGCTTTTTCGTAACGAATACGATAAAATCGTACAGGTTGGCATCTCTTAAGTGTCTGTCAGCAATAACAATGGTCAGTCAAATTAGTATGGAGGTAGATGGCATGAAGCACTCTGTCAACCCTGTGAGAAAACACATACTCTCAGCTGCAAGCATGCACACATGTATGCACACGCACAGACATTCACTCTTTTATACTCCCAAACTTTCTGACAAAGCCTGAATCTTCCTCTGTACTGAATTGCAAACTTCATCCAACTAAACATGTATCTATGCAGACTTGCAAAAGGGATTTTTTTTTCTTTTTCTTTGTACGTTTACCATGTAACAAACGACAGATGTAACCTTTTATGAGTGAATGTATGGTTTCACGCTGCTTTCAGCAATATTCCAGCAATATCACTGCGTGGGACACTAGAAATGGGCTTCACAAATTGTAGCCATGTGGGGAATCAAACTTGAGTCTTTTACGTGATCAGAAACACTATAACTACTAGGCTATCTCACTGCCCTGTAAAATATCTAATATGAATATGACATTGAATAGTTGTCTGGAGAAAGTAACATAAGGTAATTATATTGTTATCTTTGTACATTCTCACACGTTGCATTGTGTAAACATGCTTTATCTACATTTTTACTCTGAGCACTGACTCAGGATTCACCTGATGAAGGAGCATAAATTAGCTCTGAAATGTCTTATGAAAATAAAACGTTTTCCATAAAAACGTGCCAAGTATTCAGATCATCAATAGTCACCCCTTGCAACAAACTGTGATATTGCTGGAATAAGCAGCGTAAAACTACACACACACATTCCCTTGCAACAACTGTGATGGACTGGGACCTATTCTTGTCAGTAATAATACCTGGGATGTTAAAAATTAAAACTTACCCTCAGCAATTGGAGCCATGCATCCTCCACTGACTTGAGGAATGGCCTCCGACTTGGGGAAGACGTGTGGGAGTCCTTCTGCAGGGTTGAACAGATTTGCTGGGACACGTTGGCTCATCAGATACCTGAAAAGTCAGTATTCCATTATGCTCCTGCATAATGCATCGTGTATTCTGGACTATTTTCACATTTACAAGATGTGTGTAATTAAGCATGAATACCCCACTCAGACACATAATACTGACTCCGAGCCGACCAGTCCTTGTTGTACCCATTAATGCCGAGAGCCAGGCAGGGACCAACAAGTACCATATTTTAACATCTTTTGGTATGATGCGGCCGGGGATCGAACCCGCGACCTTCCGCTCGCTGAGCGGACACTCTAACCACTACACCACAGAGGCGGTCCTGTAACCATGTGAGATACAATCATGAGTTATATTCCGAAAGGCTGTATATGTTTTACAATATTGGACTGTTAAAAAGACACATGACAAAGAACACATTTCTTGTAAGCTGGAGATGCATAGTATATTGTTCACGTGAATATTGACTGGCATATTCCTCGAAAAACGTAACTGCCTGGTATTATTCATATAATGTTGTTGGTTGTAATTGAAGATATCTGCATTTTGCTCTCATTCATTTGTTGTGGCTTTGAACAGAATCTTTCCACTTCATTTATGTACTCGTTGAGAAGACAACACTAAGTTGTTGTTTTCACTAGCTTTTATGTTGCAGACGTGTATGCGTAACATATTATCTGCTTATCAGCAATTCTTGAAATACTACAACATTTGTTCCTGTATATAGCTGATTGACTAAATTATTTAACTTAAAACGTTCATACAAAAATAACAAAGAATAACTGAGCCACGATTCTAATCCCCAAAATATATACAAATGAAAGAATGTACCCTACCTTTTGATGTTATGAGAGTAGTTGAGCTGGTTATAGAAGACAGTTGTATCCTCCTCGGACTCTTCTGTCTTCCCCGCTTCCTTGGGTTCCTGAATCACAACAGAAATGGACTGAACATGTACAGTCAACATAGCCAGTGTAGGAAACTTAACAGAAAATTCTACCAGACACCAGAACTGGTAATTCTCAAAACTTACCAGCCCTTTCCAAACGACCAACTTTAATTTCACATTACAGCTCAGTAATAACAGTGAGTGAATGAGTGAGTGAGTTTGGTTTTACTCCGATTTTAGCAATATTCCAGCAATATCACGGCAGGGCGACACCAGAAATGGGCTTCACACATTGTACCCATGTCTTCGGCGTGACGAGCGAACGCTTTAACCACTTGGCTACCCCACCGCCCCCTCAGAAATAATAAAAATACTATTAAGTATCTTTGCTTTCATATTTATTGAAATGCCCAACAAAAGAAATAGTTTCATCACAGTGCTTTGAAACTAGAATACAATAGTCTCAAAACTAGTGTTATCAATATTATGCCATTGTAGCGAGAATGTGTTATGTGTAACTGTAAATCATCCATAAATATGAGCCCGACCATCAGGCTGGTAAGATGTATTTTTGGCCAGCCCTCCACAGAATTAACTCGTCTTGGACTTTCGGGTGAGCAGTAGTTTCCTACACTGCCATAACACAGCCAAGGATTGGAATAAGGCAAAAGCCCCAGTTGTTATAGTATACAAATAGTTGCTATTATGTAACACTATTATGTGTAGCAAAGACCTGAGGACCTAATCCCTAATCTTTACTTTTGCAAACCGACCTCATCAAAAGTAATAATCGTTTTGTAGCACCAAATTCACTTTCAACCTATTGAGGCAATTCAGTTACCACCGACACTCCATTTTGCTTTCTAGCATACACCTAGATATTCAAACAGGGCATCACTAATTATGTGACAAGTCAATATTCAAGGTTTGTGAAAGTCATTTCAGTGAAGATATGGCAAAGTACTGACCATAAGACATTTCAGTTTTCAGTCTAAAGTGCAAATACTGAAGGTCCAAATTAAACAGAATGCAAAAACAACAACATATATTGAGCCTAACAACTAGCCCAGCATCTAAAGAGGCTTACCCTGCTCTTTATAACCTCTTTGTCTGGCACCAAGAAAGTCTTATCTTGGGTATGTCGATCAACCGCTGAAAAACAAAAAAAGAATTGATTAGTCTTGCATACTGTATGTATTCAATAGTCTTAAGGATATTGAGGGTAGCCAACAACCTCAGCATTTCTTAAACACTGCTACCCTCTCGCTTGCTCTCAATACCTTGATTCAAACCCAAATCATAGAATACTGACATTTATCAGGGAGGCTGCAACCTGCAGCCACTCAGACATGAAATATGGTTGGTTGGATGGTTGGTTAGTCTTTTACGCTACACTCAGCAATATTACAGCTATATGGCGGCAGTCTGTAAATAATTGAGTCTGGACCTGACAATCCAGTAATAAACAGTATGAGCATCGATCTACGCAATTGGGATACAATGACATGTGTCAACCAAGTCAGCGAGCCTGACCACCCGATCCCGTTAGTCACCTCTTACAACTGGCATGGGTTACTTAAGACCAATTCCCAGACTATCCCTTATCAAAATTAACTGGGCTTACCTAAGTTTGTAATTTGGGGTTCAATCTTGATCTCCAGCGGTTCAGTTGGTGTGTTCTGAAAAGTAAGAAGTGACTTGTTAATAAGGCATTACTAACATACTTTGTTCACAGACCATCCAGAGTATGGATAGTGGGTTGAACTGATATAAAAAACATGGCCACATGATTGTGTGTACTGAATACACAATTGTAGATGTAATATAAACACAAACTTATCAGAATGAGGTCCAATTTCAAAGACAACATGAGATAATTTTCACTGGTTTCAGTAATACAAGTCAACAGTGAGATAAACTTTAATGGCAAGAACCTATGGATGACAACTTCTTTATTTTGAGGAACACAACGATTTGCCTTTATGTGTATCACTTCTAAATATTGTTTAAAGACTTTAAAACAAACTTTGTTCTGGTCATCAGGGTGTTTTGTTTGTGCATCATTTGAGAGATGGTAGGGGATATCAAAAGACTGCTGCAAATGTATTACTGATTGGAAAAGATATTTCCAGGTTATAAGCAGTGTTCCAGTAGAGGTGCCATAGCTGCGAGCTTCAATTATGAAAGAACATCATGACATGACTGGGTTGAAAGCATTGCGTCTTCCGAACAAAACACTGGCATTTGCTGGATCCTGGGTCTCGATCCACAAAGCATTCATAGCGTTACAACTTGCCGTAACTCTATAGATTATCACAGGCTTACGAATGTCGTAGCGCTATGAATGTTTTGTGGATAGGGACCCAGAGTACTATCATAAAACAATGAAAAGACAATACACATGATCACCAAGGCTGGTTCATAGTCACAACACATACCTTTGTTTGTAGAAGGTTACGGATCATCTGTTGATATTTGTGAGCTTCTGAGAGTAGTTCAGAGGACAGTCGGCGATTAGTGCAGCTTTCCTCAAACACATCAATATCAGCAGGGCAACTGAGGAAAAGTATAAGTTGATCATTCAAATAATCAAGTCATGTCCAAATGCCAATCATAAGGCCAGACCAATTTTATTTCTTGTTTTATGGATTTTTGTCCTCAGAAAATCTCAAGGCAGGAGGAGAAAAAAGAAAAGAAGAAGAATCACCAGTCAACGTAATATTCCTTTTAAATACTAAAAGTATTTTACTTTTGAGTTCGTATCATACAACTGGTACAATATGCTGTAATTTGTTTTAATTCAGTTATAAATATGAATAATCATGATAAAGGAACAGTGTTGTTACAAAAGACTAAAATTATGCCAATGACTAACAGCACCAGTTTACAATTTAGAAATTCAAAACAACTAGTTCTGGAAAAACACATTCCTATTTTTAATTTTACGCCACACTTAGCAATATTCCAGCTATATGACGGCGGTCTGTAAATAATCGAGTCTGGACCAGACAATCCATTGATCAACAGCATGAGCATCGATCTGTGCAATTGGGAATCGATGATATGTGTCAACCAAGTCAGCGAGCCTGACCACCCGATTCCGTTAGTCGCCTCTTACGACAAGTATAGTCCATAATTAAATACGAGCAGAGGGACAAGCTGATTACAATATCACCCTATTCTTTTAGAATGATTCACATGATTGGTGCATTTACAATATTCTGTATTTTAGGCATGTAAATATTTCATGAAATTATTTGTAATAGAATCATATTTTGGCAAGGACAAGCATAATAGCACATATATTACGCCAAAAGCATAACAGTTGGCATCTCTGAAAAACCTTGAACAAGTCTCACCTGATTACTGTGTGCTGTCCCATGATAAACTCGAGCTTCTTGGTCCAAGGGTCAACAAAGCTGGACCACTTTGTCTGCACCTCAACCCATTCACCATTCCGAGCCTTAAGCCTCATTCTGCTCTCTTTGATTGGGTTGCCTTTAGACTCCAACACTGAAGTGATAATATGATACATTCAAGACTTGCCAAGATGATGTCTACGTTTCACAAAGGGGATAGTTTACCTTCGAAACCTTCACAATCAGAACAAGAAACAATTTACGCAAAATATGTACAATCCCAAAATTGTGCAAAGTGTAGACATTTCACACTGTGGTGTAAAAAATCCTGAAAGTAAAGGGAGATGGGTTGAGATCCTGGAATCAAAGGGAGACAACTCTTCATAACTTAAGGTAGGCTTGAAATGTAAAAAGTCTTTGCTTTACGTCACCAACACTTGTCATTTTTTTTAGACTTCTTTAGGCAGAGTGGGAAAACACCATAGAATTAACCAGCTAACTAGTCAAGTTCATTTTAGCAGGGGTAGAACAGGTCAGATCGACGTATTCACTTCCAGTTCACTGGACTGTATCATGTTGTTTTAACCTGTAGGCAGTTTGGAACTGTAGACAGTAAGGGAATACACCATGGTATGTGCCCAGATAAAAAAGACAACATTTAGGTATAAGTACAGTTTTATCAATTATGTAATGAATCATTATTTTTAAATTAAGGCATATTGCATCAACATATATTTGCCAGATCACATTTACTTGTGAATATTATCAAAAGCAATAATTTATATACATGTACTTATCAAACATATGCGACGATAGCAACTCACACTCAGTTGGGTATTTTGCCATTTTCCATTAATTGTAAAAATATAATACAGTTTAAATGTTGGTTTACGTGTTTGTTATTTATATTTGATCTGTGATATGAGAAACGATAAGAAAGACTGCAAGTTGCCAAGTGCTGAAATAGAACCTCTCAATATGCCTCAGTTATTTTATCTTTTTTTGTTTATACGCACGTAAAAACAAGTTTATTGAGTATTTACAAAACTTCAAGCGTACTTGTACGCAATAGACTTAATAGGAATTGGGTTTTCACATAAACATTTGCGTAATTTACGCAGATATGGAGCTTATCTGTACCGCTGATGGTTGATAGCTTGGGAGTTAATGGCTAAACAATAGGGAGGTGAAGAGTAGCTTGGGTACAGGAGGTCGGTTTAAATAGTGGACAGGGCAGTAATTTGTACAGTCAGCCAGAATCAGGATCTCGTGTACATTGAGTTAAGAAATTCACTGATATTGAGGAAACATCTCATACTGGTTGGTGGTTTCATACAACATTGAGTGTATCTAAGAGAATTTTGTATTATTTCTAGATTATATATCTTCTTTTTATTCTTTATACCAACTAATTTGGTTAGTTGTTTTAGCCTTTTTTAGAATTAGTTAAGGGACATAATTTAGATGGTCAAGCGACAATACAGTCAGACCTCGTTAATATGAACACTTTGGTTTTTAAATAAAAACGCTCGGATAGTGAAACGTTCGAACTGCTGAAACCACAGTATATGCACCGAGTTACTTCACCTTGATATAATGTTATTCAAATAATACAACAATAACTTAAAATAAAATTATTTTTGAATGAAAATGCAAGCTTACATTTATAACGTCCAGATAAACCACGAAAGAAGCAAAAACTATGGCGATTTTTTTCCATTTGTGACATGTCATAACATGCCAGTGCCTTTTTCTTTTATATTTTCATTTTTACGGCATCAGAAAAATATTATAAAAAAGATTTCTTAAATAATATGTATGGTCGTCTATTTCCCGATATCTGTGGCTTTCCGCTCGGTAACATGACATAACAACGGAAAATACCTCCGTTTTCGAAGCGTCGTATGAATAACATGGGAGGCGAATCGTTTGATGTCGGGTATCGTTCGAAAGCTCTGAACATCAACAACATCACTAAACCCTTGCCGAGAGTATTTTCACAGTTGTAAGAAGCGATTTTATTGGATAAAAATTGGTTTCTAATGATGCCTTTTCGCTGCAGTCTGCTATAAGGGTCGTGATTGGTCAAAATCAGACACATGACCTAAGGCAGCCAATCATATTACGGCAATGGATACCGTCCTCGTAAACGAAAACTTTTAGATTTAGACGAAAGTTTTGGGGAAAATAATGCTATTTTGAACATATTAAGCAAGAAATCGCTACCTATACGTAAATTATGGAACTTATTGGACGTATCGTGCTAGGTTATGACCTGTGACAAAAATGCTTCATGTATATATTTTGTTGATTTTATTCATTAGTTTATTCAATTTATTTAATGAATTCCTCGAAACATCGTTACTTTGCTCTTTGACAATGTTATTGTGGACCCGCTGCCGAAGCATGTGTCCGAGAATCGTTGTTTTCAATAACATTGCGAAAAATAGTTTATAATTCTAATTCATGTTGAAACGGTACCGAGCATATATTTCTGGATTGAAGTCTTTCCCCAAACAGCGTGGTTGTCGAAATTTCCCTATCACTATGATAAAGGGATCAAAGGGATGAGTCGCTAAGTCGCTAAACAAACAAACGTTTCACTTTGGGTGGACCAGTCAGCAGCGTGGTCAACTTCAATCGTTCGGATTAACGCAGCTGTTTATAACTTAATTAGTCCAATCCGTTCCGACTGACCAGCATTCGGAGGCGGAAACTGAATCATCGGACTAACGAGGTGTCAATTATATACAATATATAGGGAGATGATTTGGTGCCCAGTGAGTAGCGTTCGGAAGTCGGTGAATTCGGATTAACAAGGACCGGATTACCGCGGCCTGACTGTATATACACATGTACATCTTCAAATTTAGGGCTGGTTAACTGGCTGGAAAGTATGAATAAATTCTTGTTTACTCATAAGAGTATCCTTTGGATATTTCACATATCAGTATTGTACTAATTCATGCAGGTGTCCCTTGAAACACGTTTGTCTGCCTGCACTATTTTTGTCAAAAGCTATTGTCTGAGAACTACTTTTTAAAATCTTTTCAAGCCTTAATTAAACTTAATGTTTATTGACCGAACAGGTGTTTATTGCTGATTTTAACACGACAGAATTCTTTTGAAGCTGTAACAATGGACCTTCTGGATATATTCATTCAAGACACAGAACCAATGTGCAAAACATTGTGTCCAACAGTTTACTCAAGATGGGTCTTTTTTCAATACTTTGAATCTTCTCCATAGGCAACATAGGGAGTTCTGAATTTTTACTGGAACTACAAATGCACGGCAATGCAATATTTACTTGTATTATACATGATTTATTTACATTCTGTTCTACAGTGTCTTGTTATACTATTACACTATTATTTGTACAAACAGATCCTAGTTATACATTGTGTAAAATCAAATGTCATAAATGTCATTACCTTGTTGGTGGACTTGGAAAAGTACTGGCAAATCTTCTGGGTGGAAGACTTCAAAGATTGACAGCCCAATGATGTCTTGTGGTAGATACCCAAGCAATGGAATAGCACTGTAATATATGGAGAGACATAAGATCTGGATACATTCAAGAATACAATCTGTAACTATAGTTTGAGCTTTTTTAGCCATATAATAATCTTTGTATTTAAAAATATGAAATAAACACACCTGTAATGCCGATCTCAATGGGAAACAATTCTGAAGGCAGCCTTATGTTCATTCATGTTTCTAGAGACACCTTCCTAGTGACAATGACATTTTCTCTTTGGTGCTTCCACCATCTTTCAACCTCTTTCAGTTGGGCATGACTCGGCACTCTAACCAAATTGCATGGCTGCCACAAATGACTTCACAATACCGGACCAAGTGTACAACCATGCTCGGCTGTCATAGCTGTTGACAGTTATAATAGTTGACTAATTTGGGGACCATTCGAAAAGGTATGAAACATTGTTTGTCACAGGAAGTACTAAGGTCTCACAAAGTGCCATGACGGGCCCTATGTTTACGAGTTTGGTAGCACTGAAACTCTGTGGGTGACAATTCTGATGAAATGAAGTGTGCTTACTTGGAATGGATGTGAGAGACTGCACAGAACATTGTGTGCCTCATGCAGAATGTCCTCTGTTCTGGCAGCTGACCATACACTGGAATAGAACATTAAGATGTAGGAAGGCTTGGTAAACAGTCACTTTTATGATGCTGTCAGCAATATTCCAGCAATATCAAGGCTCAGGAAACTGGAAAATGTTGTACCCATGTGGGGAATTAAACCAAGGTCTTCTACGTGATGATCAAAGACTCCAATGACTAAGTCAGCCCGCTAAAGCTCTGCAGTCAGATTTAATCAGGGTTCCTATACCCCTATTTATCCATAACTTTCTGCTTCATATTTATCAGCATATCTCCATCCCCAGTCACACTATGCCCAGATTCCTGGTGTACAAACTGACCCAGCACTGAGGTGGTCCTAACTGCCAAACTTAAACACAGGCTTTGGTTGTGAAGTCTTGCCAGGCCTCTTGCCTCCCTTGTTCTATGAACGCTATTGTGTATACTACTGGTTGTCTTAGTGCTAAGACCGCTTTGTGAAAAACATTTTTTGTGGGGGATTTTGGGGGATACAATCCAAAACTTGATTTCACTGACCATTTGAAAGACTTTATATTCTAGTATTCTAAATGCTTACTCCACTTGAATATGTGCAATTTGCATGATTTAATATTTGTCCTTCCAGCTTGTGAACCTTTAGAAGCTCCATACCTTAAAGGGTTCTTGCTTCAACACTGTGCACATAACACTGGAAATTACATCAATTCAGACACAGACACACTGGATGATAGTGGATCTATACTCTGCATCAATATTACAAGCTTTTAATTTACTTGAATGAATTTAACTTTATGCCACGTTTAGCAATATACAAGCAACTGCACAACGGGGACACCAGAAATGGGCTTCACATATGGGGAATCAAACGCTTTAATCCCAAGGCTACCACACCGCGCCTAATTTACTTGAATATATTTTAGTAGTGAAATCAGTCTTATAGCACCTTATGGACCTGAGATGGATGTCATAGAGAGGGATGACTATCAGATACACCAAGTTGGAGTGAGTGAGTTTACTTTTACGCCGCACTCAGCAATATTCCAGCTATATGGCGGCGGCGGTCTGTAAATAATCGAGTCTGGACCAGACAATCCAGTGATCAACAGCATGAGCATCGTATCTGAGTAATTGGGAACCGATGACATAGTTGCCTTTACCAAGTTGGAGAAACAAGAAGCACATGTATTGTCTTGACAGTAGTGGTGGTTCAATTAATTGAAATAATCGAAGATTGATCGCAATGACTAAATGACCAAGCAATCGATCATGTTTTCTCATTATGGAACACCAACCATGCAGGAACACTTGTTTTCATTACCAATATATTTCTTACAAGGTTGGTTGTGTCTGTTACATTTCATAAGCTCTACTAGCTCGTTTCAAGTCATGATTGAATTTATCTTAAAGATTCCAAGAAATTTATGTTCCTAACATACTAGTCATCCTTTAAAGATGTGAAATTTCGCCCCCCAAAACCCCTAAAGAACTACATGTATTTTTCCTTATTTTTTTTTGTGCACTAACAAATCTCATAAATGACGCTAACCAATTATTTTCAATGATTGATAGGTTGTAATGAACCAATCATCAATTATGAGATTTTAACCAATTCCCAACACTACCTGACAGGCCTAGAAACATACTCAGGGCAACTTGGAGATCAAGCCCCAAACCAAAGGTGCCTGACTTACATGCCTGAGGGACATGCTTTTGATCATACATTTACTTGTACACTGTGAGTATTTGTTATTGAACGAAATTATTTTTTCTCCACCCTTATTGACAAAATGGATGCTTATAGTTGAACTTTGAAGATTTAGATGACAATCATATGATTGCACTACTTTGGGGATAATGATACAGATGATAATGATAATGAATTTATATAGCACCTGCTCAACGGCTCAAAACACTATCTTTTCATCTGCTGTGCCATGGAAATCATACAACAAACAGTAAAAAATATGTGTCTGTTAGTCATGTCATTTCTTTTTAAAGAAAATCAGAAATGCATCCATTTTATCTGCAGAGGCAAATGTATGAGCGAGGTGTCTCACCTTTGTAAGGTGATTCCAGTTCAACTAGTTTTAGCATCATCAATCTCCTGTGTTTGGGTGCCGTGTCTATGCCAGATTTGCTTGCTGAAGTAACAGAAATGTTCACTTGGAATGGCTGGAAACTGGCTGGTCGCTTGAGATTGTACCCTTTCACAATTGTCTTAAAGCACCTGAAATAAACATATATTTAATACAAAATTAAACTGCAATCTCATCAAAATCAAATGTGAGTTACCACTTTATCAAATTTCATTGGCCCACGCTCAAAGATAACATACATTAATTGAATGACAAGGTGCAAGAAATTCACTTTAACACAAGTCATTAATCATTCAAAAACATTTTTCTTTTTAACGTGATTCTTTAATCAGTTTTTCACAATTGTTGAGCAAGATGATATTTTCAGATGTTAGTAGAGGATTAAATTTCCCGATAGTGGTTTGTTTCATGATCTTTTCTTGTGCATTGGTTGAATAAGCCCAGTTAACCATTCCTCCTGAAAATACCCTGCACTTAAGATTCAATTATAAAGTATGGAGATATAGCTTAGTAACACGGTTTCACAACACTTCAGCAAAATTACGTCAGGTCCAGCTGATATTCTTTTAAATTTGTGATTTGTGATTTCATCATCACTTATGTTATGGTTCAGAATATTATTTATTATTTACAACCACTGAAGAAACATCCATAAATTGTTTGTGGAATAGGCCCTTGGGACATACCGTTACAATTCATAATCAGAATGAATTGCTAATTTTTACTGATCAATGAAATGACTCATAAGGAGACATTAGCCAATTAGGAAGCAGGTTCCTGCAAGAATACAGCACTCATTTCAAATTTCCATTCCAGACAATGTTTTTAAAAAATATTTTTATGAAGGTCTAGATTCAAAATTTGGAAAGTGAGCTAAAGAAATTTAGCCAAACCCAGCGGGGTAGGGGTTTTCAATTCTTTGAAGAGAGTCTTCCTTGGCGTACATATATGCATTTTCTGCGACTGAAAATGTCCTGTGATAGTTGTAACAATGTTTTATCAAATTGACAGTGCTTTATAAAACAAGCTTGTTTTAAACATTTGCTTACCGAAACCTTATGTAGAATGTTTTTGAGGGATTCTCAACATCAGCTTGGCTGTCTTCTGTTGTCTCTGAAATGTACAAAGAAGTCATGCAATAACAGCGTGAAGTCTGAAATTCAATAACATTTGATTAGATAACAAATTTTCTTGTTTGTGGTTTTTAGTCGAACTCACATCTTCGCTGAAACTAGTGGTTTTAGAGTGTTAACAAATGTTAGTGGGTGTCATCCAGTTGTCATTATTATCTTTCCCTTGACAATCTACAGGTATAATAAAAATGTTTTTATATGAGTCACACTAGATAGGTAGTGAGCAGTAGACAATGATGTCACAAATAATAAGTGTTGCATATCAATACACCACTCTGATCATCATATGACAAAATATAGGTTTTAAAATTTTAATGCTGAATACTGTCTATTTTCTGGGTGCGTAAGAAACAGATTAAGTTCTTAAAGTTCTGCCCTTCGTCCCACAACTCGGTATTTCAACACTTATAACTTCTTTCTTCTTTCTTGCTTTCAATCATCAGACACATTTTCATGAAGCCTGTTGTCATCTAAGATACATGGTACGCCACACAAAGATCTGTGAGCATCTAACTACAGGTCACAACAGATTTTTGGCAAACCCTGGTGACGAGTGAAATGACTCACAAGAAATCAACATTAGCCAGACTGAAAGGAGCTTTCTCAACCAGTATAGATCTAAATCCAAACTGGCTACTTCCATTCTAGACTTCTTCATTAAAATATTCCAACAAAGTTCTTTATTTAAAAGATTAACAAATTATATTTATATTATATGTTATAGATGGCTGAGATTGTATGTTGTACCGCTCATAACATGTTAGGAATATCTCATCTAACCAACTCGAGGTTACACAATCAGTGAAGACATTCGGCTTTCACTTTCTCAGTCAGGTAAGTGATGCTCTGATTGATCAGATGAAAGGTCATTCTGACATAAACCATCCTAGGATGTCCTCAGATCTTTGTTTACCTGTAGCAAGAGCTCAGATCTCATTTTAATGAGGTTGTTGTTTTTCACTTTGACAAAACCAACACGCGCTGACATTAACTGCAAGGGGAGCGTAAGCAACTCGACATTGTTTCTGCACTGCACACGATTTGCTTGTAATGAAATGACTGAGTGAGTGAGTGAGGTTAGCTTTCAGCAATATTCCAGGAATGTCACGGTGGGGGACACCAGAAATGGGCTTCCCACATTGTACCCATGTGGGGAATTGAACCCGGGTCTTCGCATGACGGGCGAACGCCTTATCCACAAGGCTACTCCACCCTCCAGCTGATGATAAAAGTCAGCTATACAAAGACACTGCTAGAACAGTGAAGCAGACTGTAACCATTGTGGGGAATCCCACAAGCATGTGTATGTTGCACACAAATCAAGCATTTTCACTTGCACCCCATAATACACTCTTTGTCAGATCTCACAATACATTATTTTTCTGAACATCCCATATTACACTATTTGTTAGAACACCCCTTAATATACTATTTGTCAGAACATCCAAGAATACACTTTTATTCAGAACACCCTTCAATACACTTTTGTTCAGAACACCCTTCAATACACTATTGTTCAGAACACCCTTCAGTACACCATTGTTCAGAACACCCTTCAATACACTATTGTTCAGAACACCCTTCAATACACTATTGTTCAGAACACCCTTCAATACACTATTGTTCAGAAGACCCTTCAATACACTCTTGTTGTTAACACCATTTAATACACTATTGTTCAGAACACTCTCTAATACATTGTTCAGAACACCCTTCAATACACTATTGTTCAGAAGACCCTTCAATACACTATTGTTCAGAAGACCCTTCAATACACTATTGTTCAGAACACTATTGTTCAGAAGACCCTTTAATACACTATTGTTCAGAACACCCTTCAATACACTATTGTTCAGAATACCCTTCAATACACCATTGTTCAGAATACCCCAAAAGAATTTTTAACGAGTGGCCTTGAAATGGTGCAAATGTTGGATTCAAACTCAAGATCAGCAGACCTTGCACAACCACGCTTATATTGGTCTATCTCCCTTACCTGACTGTTGGGTAAATTCATCATAATCCAAGTCCACCATCATGTTACTGTTGAAGGTCAGGATATCACGTCTGCAGATGAAGTCAGTGATGATACGTCCCTTCCAGAAATCCTGGAACAAACCATTTCTAGGTATCATACAGGTGGTTGAGCAAGACATTTCTCAAACAAATGAGTTAGAGACACATGAATTCTCGCTGACCATTATCATAACCAAAGTACATCTTGCAATGCTGGCCTCTCTAAGTGAGTGAGTGACTTATATATATATTCCAGCAGCATTCACGGCGGGAAACACCATAAATGGACATGTGGGGAATCGAACCCGGGTCTTTGGCATGACGAGCAAATGCTTTAACCACTAAGCTACCCCACCATCCCTGAAGCTTGTGAAAATACACATATTGTACACTCATAATATATTACCCTCAGTTATACTTACAGTGGGGTATTCCAGTTTCAGCATCAAGGCAGGAGTTACCTGGTGGACAACATGCTTCTTCATTGACATCAGGATGATGAGGCCATGCTGCAAAACAGAGTTAGGTCCCTTGCATAACGTTTCATTAAAAAAAAATCATCCCAATCCCCACCCCATTTATATTTAAAAAACTTTCCAATCCTTTCTTACAAATTTCATTCTGCCAAATTTTACCATATTTGTATTTGGTATGTTGGGAAAAACTTTTTCCTGTCTGATCCCCTGAGAAACATACATAGAAACAACAAGTGCCATCTTTTGATGTCTTTCAATGTGATGAGGCCAAACGACTGAATCCCTGACTTTCTGCTTTCCCTGCAGATGTTATATCAACAAGCAACAGAGGCAAATTCATGGAGTTGAGAGTTTGGGGTACTTACATCAGATTTTGCAAGAAGTCTGCTGTCAATCTTTGGAGTGGGCAGGATGATATGTTCATTCTGACACATCTGGCTCGATGGGACACTCTTCATATCTGAGACGCATATTTATATATCAGGTATATATATAAAAGTATCACAGGAACACACAAATACAACATACAATAGTCAATCTACAAACCATACCATTGTGTTTCAATTTCCTATTGATTTTCAGTACTGACATGGATGTGGTCTGGTGAAATGACACAAGGAAGATAACTGGGTAAAGATGGTCAAATTATAGGGGGAATAACTCATAGGGGGACAGATCAAGGGACGTAACTCACCAGTGATCTTGCGGACACTGTCTACTACATGCTGTAGTGTTGAGAGAGTGCCCATCTTGCGGTGGTTAGATGGGCCAACCATGGACACGAGTGTTTTTAAGTACTGTTTAACCTTCTCCTTCTTCATCTGGCTGTTGCGCGCACCATATGCCATGTCGCTGCTGTTGAAGGAACAAGCAGTACTGAGAGAATTGTTTCACATGCATTCAACAACATTCTGGATTCATTAAGGCACGCTGCAGAATCAGGAATGACCACTTAGTGAGCCAGGACAGACATCAAGATCCTCATATCAGACATGCTTACATGTTTGGGATATCGTAAATAATTCTGCTTTTAACATGAGATATCTGAAGCCTCAAGAACATTTTGAACAGTTTTTTAATTGAATGACAAGTATACAGATGGCAAGGTAGACACAATATACGCATAACAACATCCTTAAAGCAATAATAGAATTGTTATGACATTTTGGCATAGATTCTTTCTGTTGTCTTACCTGCAGCCGCTTGTAGAAGGTTGGTCGTCCATACTGCTGAAGGAGAAACTTAAGCTGCTGCTACTACTGCAAGAAAGAAAATATAGACGTCAGTATCAATCGAAGTGAGCCAGTTTGTTTTTCCAACAGTATCACAGTAATATTGTGTACATTTCAATCAGATGTGAGAGGAAAGCCCTATGTGATACAGTCCTTACCATTTTCATAAAACCCATTGTGCCAACAAACTTTGAACAACCCGGATTCACAACAATGGTCCTTGGTGTTTCACATGCCACAGCTCTGCTTGTTGTACTGCTTGGTTTTGTTGCAATATCAAGACTAAGACAATGTCTAACACTTGGCCCGAATAATTCTGGATCCAGCTCAAAGTGATAAACAGGAACAATAACCATTAGCATGATCATGTATATCCTGGTTTTGAAACATAAATCATCTTTAGCACTATTTATCACACTAACTCTTCAAAATCTAAAAACCTTCACATCACAAGCTGAAGCAACTGAATACAGTCAGATCCATTATTTATTAGACCTGTTGTCTCACATGTACAGATATGTTGAACTTATTCTACTGTCCCGACCACCTCATGGTATATATACACAAAAATGTGACTGCTTTTCCTTAATTTGAAATAAAAATACATTGTTGTTTCTTGAACCTTGATTGCCCAAATTTTGAAATAGAATCTCGAAGTGGGCATTTGTCACATGAACAGTTTGGTGAAGCACATCTTCACTGAGTGAGTGAGTTGGGTTGGGTTGCATGCCCCTTTTAGCAACATTCCAGCAACATTCCAGCAACATCCCAGTGGGGATCACCAGACCTGGACTGACTGAGTTTTACGCCGCTTTTAACAATATTCCAGCAAAATCACGGCGAGGACACCAGAAATGGGCTTCACATATTGTGCGCATGTGGGGAATTGACCCGGGTATTCGGCGTGATGAGCCAACGCTTTATCCACTAGGCTACGCCACTGCCCCACCAGACCTGGACTTTACATAGTCCGCATGAGAGGAATCGAACTCGAACCCAAGCCTTCAGGGTGACAAGAGAATTCTATAACCACAAGACTATCCAACCACTCCCTCAATATCTTGAATATCCAAATACTTTTAAGGTGTACAAATATATTTATCAGCTAAATAATTATTGGGTGATAATTATTTGAGAATTGAAGAAATCTGTGTTCATGCAATTTGGTCGCTGTTGAATAATTTTATGCTTAAAAACACCAAAAGCACTATGGTCTCCTAAAGACACTGAGCCCCAAACATTGAAAGGATATCTTTGTGATATCTGTTCAGTGTTGTTTTTGAGGAGTATTATATTGAAAATTAACATACATTAAGGTAAAATTGAAGAATTACACTTTCATTTCAGTGAGCAGTAACGTGAAATTGAATTGCACTTGTCCTGTAACTGTAAACGGCATGTACTAAACGCGCAAAAAAGCAGTTGTACTCCAAGCAGCATTGACTAAATGCGCACACCACCAACCCAGGCTCTGCATTGTGGGACAGCATATGTTATCATGCCGATTTGCATATCTAAATAAACACAGTTAACTAGGCCAAAGAGGTAGTGCAGTCACATCCGGTCATATCTTAACAGGTCACAAAATGCTTCGTAAACAGGCTCAACTATGACCTGACCGACTGCGCATGTTTTCATTGATAAAGGTCAGGTAAATATTAACTCGGGAAACGACAAGGAATACCTTCACTCCCCAGGCGAATTGAATTTTGTTTTTCAAAGCAGTCTAGATTCCTTTTATAAAATGTTTGGAAAGATATTGTTGACTGGCAGTTCTTTTTCTGTCTGCGTGAACAGCAATGTGGGTAAGTTTTCAAAATGTGTACTATAATGTCTGCTGGCTATAAAAATAGAACACCTTTACATTTCGAGGTCAGCTAGAGTACAGAGTTTTTTGGGCAGTGTTGTGGGTGATGAGGGGCACTGACGGAGAGGGACAGGTTTGCTCTTTTTTCCTTGTGTCATCCCTAAATTTTAAGTGATCCATTCAAATAATTTTCAGAACCCTTTTTTCCTCTATAATCAACGGAGCAATAGAGTCAACAGATTATCAAGGCTCTTTATTCAATGGTGCTGACATCTATTTCCGATAGAAATGTCAACAGAAAGGTTTGCTAATAAAATAATGGCTTATCTTTGTGGTCTGGCAGTAAATGGCTTCAATTTGTCAAAGATGCCTCATTTTCACCAAAAGCATCAAACGCTGGCCCAAAAATATGGCATGTCAGGTAAGCGTGTAGGTCCACAATTGTGTATGAGCTAGTGTCGGATGGCATCTGATGATGATTATGACTGAGTAGAGAAATATAATACACAAAATCAAAGGTCCACTTAAAACCAGTTCTTTGAGTGAGAGAGCATGGTCTTACGCTGCTTTTAGCAATATTCCAGCAACATCATGGCAAGGGACACAAAAAATCAGCTTCACACATTGTGCCCATGTGGGGAATCAACCCTGGGCCTTCGGTGTGACGAACAAATGCCTTAACCACTAGGCTACACCACTGCCTCATCAGTTCTTTGAATAAGCATGGTGTACTGCCTATTCTGCACTAGAGTGGGTGATAGAGCTCTGTTTTACACTGCTTTGGACAGTATTCCAGTAATACTATGTAGTCGGCTGAATGTGGAAGGAAAGATCAAAACAATTCTGGTCTTAGGCTGTGGAAACCTCGGACACATAAAAAATATGGTGTGGTTCTTAATACATCAATTTTAAAATTAGTTAGGTTTCTTAACTTTCATTGACAATTTAGAATTGTTCCAACAAGAAAACAGTTATTAGTATTCTAAAACGTAATACTGTACTGTGTCACCATAAAATAGTGTGATTTTCATTGATGACGTCACGAGTTTACATTGTGTGGACGAGTTTGTAAACAAACGTGGTTGCCCCCATTATCAAAATTGGTGATTCTGAAAAAATTGATGAAAGAGGTTCTGGAGTAGTTACTACAGTAATTGACTTTCGAAATGAAACGGAGAACCTTGTTTAAACTAACAGATTATGAGGGACGAGTGACAGGCTATCGTCTAAAAAAGGTACCGACCAAGGATTTTTATCTATCCATCACAACAAAGAAGTAGACGAATCGATTCTGTCATGTATCAGAAACTGATGTTGATGAGGTGATAATCCTCAATAAAAATAGAAACACTACAAAGAAAACCCTCCCCGATTTTGTTGTTCTTTTTAGACAGAAAGATCTTATTTTAGGCATGAGTTATGTTTGCATTGTATTAGTGACTAGTCACAACACTACACCTTGGTGTACCGCTAAGTATTCTTACACAAATGCTCAATTCCCTTCATATATATTCACATACGATTTGCTTCTTTTTTAGAGTAATTTTAAGAATGACATTATATGATAAAAAGATTATTAACCATCTTTAATATCATATATTAGGAATAAAAATTGTATTATGCGAGGATTTGGCAAGCATAATACATATTTTTCATTCCTAATATATGATATTAATGATACGAAAAACACACTCGTTTAATAATCTCTATGTATCACTTCATGAATTTCAGAACCAGAAAATGAGGCAGCTTTATAATATATGTGTGTGAAATATATGAAAAAGAACTGTAAGATGTGTAAGTCTTGGAATTATACTCAAGCCATGCACACTTCATTAGACCTTCCCTTCTTTCATTTCTATTTCACAAGGATCAATGGCGATTTACTTTCCAGCAGTCACAAGGAAGGATGGTTTCACCATGTCTTCATTGGCATCCATCAACGCAGAATCACGCCCACGAGAACAGTACATACCAATGCATGTCAGTCACCATTGTTTTCCGCTTTGGTGAAATGATCACATTTTAGCTTAGCAAAGATGGAAATGTCCCCTTGCAAGATGTCAACTAAAAAAACAGTACACATGTCCAAAGTTCATAAATTTGCTCTTCATACACAAAAATCATCCAGTGTAACCAAATCCATGTGCCAGTGAATGGAGATGTAAAAATGCTCAATGAAACAGTGAGTGAGTAAACAAGTTCAGTTTTAATCCGCTTTTAGCAATATTCAGCAATATCACGACAAGGGACACCTGAAATGGGCTTCACACATTGTACCCATGTGGGAAATCGAACCGGGGTCTTTGGCGTAATGAGCGAACACTTTAACCACTAGGCTACCCGACATCTCCCTAAATGAAACAAACAATTAGTGCAGTAACATGAGTCTCATTATTACTGTGGAATTCATTTTGGAAGAGACAGTGACCAAATGCGGAGAAGATAGAGAACAAAAGAAATCACCTTCACAAATTGTTTAGGCTGTTTAGATGCCATTACTCAGCAGGTAGTATATACTATAGATAATTGATCAGCTTGCTACGTGACAAATATACTTGCTGATGTGAAATGTGACTGACTTTGTTTGGTTTTACGCCGCTTTTAGCAATATTCCAGCAACATCACGGCGGGGGACACCAGAAATGGGCTTAATACATTGTGCCCATGTGGGGAATCGAACCCGGGTCTACGGCGTGACGAGCCAACACTTTAACCACTAGGCTACCCCACCGCCCTGATGTGAAATGTGAACAAAAGAGGAAGTTACTTTACTTTGGGGTGATATGGGATCATATTTTATGGTATAACAAAGCACTTTTTATATTCCTTACTCTGTTTTTCTTTCTTCATTTAGGGGCGGTGGGGTAGCCCAGTGGTTAAACCATTCGCTCATCACACATAAGACCCAGGTTCGATTCCCCACATGGGTACAATGTGTGAAGCAAATTTCTGGTGTCCCCCGCCGTGATATTGCTAAAAGTGGCGTAAAAAACCCACTCACTCACTTTCTTCGTTTAAACAGAACATACACTGACCATGCTGACAACTGTTTCAAGTAAATGATAAATAATACCATGTAAAACATCGATAATGACACTGAGTTTCAGCACCTGTAGCTTCCTACTTTCTCAATAAGCAGCAAACAACATTATTCCTCTAATATCAATGAGTAATTTCTTTAATACAGACCACAAAATTTAAAGGTAAAACTAAGAACAAGTCCATTCATTTTGCCTCAGGTTCTCCAAATGAAAATTCATGTTGCTGTTATTGTTACCAAGATCAGTTGAACAGAGGCCATTCAGTTTGGTTTCTCACTTCTTTTGGGGGTGAACAACACTACCTAACTAAGCTCAAGTGTCTATGAAATCATTTAAGGTTAACCATCATATTTCCATCTTATCCTACTGGGTACCCATTCAATTTTGGGTGAACCAAGGCACTTCGATAAAACACCTCATGTAACAATTGTTTCAGATAGCTCAGGTCTTGAGGAACTCGGGCCTCTCAGCACTTATGCTGACAAAACATGTGTACTGCTGTTAGCATATTTACTCAAATAAATAACTATCCTTTGAAAAAGGACTTTAATAATTTTGCAATATTAAAGCTGTGATCTTTTTGAATGACATTCAACCTCATTTCATCCCCATTTGAACAGTCATTTTAAAAAGGCTTTTGGCAAATTGTTTTCCCAAGAATATCAACATGAGTGAGTGAGTGAGTATGGCTTTACGCCACTTTTAGCAATATTCCAGCAATATCACAGCGGTGGACACCAGACATGGGCTTCACACATTGTACCCATGTGGGGAATCGAACCCGGGTCTTCGGCGTGACGAGCGGACGCTTAAACCACTAGGCTACCCCACCGCCCCCTATCAACATGAAGGTGACAAAATATTTGTAAAGATTACTAACATCAGGATCACCATCTTGGGAGCAAATACAGACAAATTATACAGGCAATTGTTGGTCCTAGTTTGAAGCACTATACAGCTGCTACAAGCAATGACATGGAAGCAATGCTGGAAAAAACAAACCGGTCAAAACTAACACTGCAATGTACAACAGAAACTCAAAGGTGGTAATTGATAGCATCTGAATTTGTCTTTACTCCTGACAATCCAGATTGGCTTGTAACTCAGAGATGAGAGTAGACAATGTAAGCAAGTTACAGGCCCACGTTTGAAACCACATGCTTGGGCGAGATAATCAATATAATTTTTCTGCTCTGTGCCTTTAACATTTACAGGCTTATGACAACAATGGAAGCTCTTGCTCTCTTCTTAATGAATCAGTAGCATGTGACCATCTGATTTGACATTTCCAGTTTTAAAAGGGAAATTTTTAAGCAACAGTGGGGCAGGCTGAAATAAATTACTTCAGTCCTGACAGATATGTTCAGTGCCATGGAGAGCTAATTCACAGATAGATAATCTTACCAGGAATAAGTCTTTTTAACACCATTTCATGTGTATTTAAAACCTATGACATCAATCCATTTAACAGCTCATGATCACTTTTTCAATCCATTTAACAGCTCATGATCACTATAAGTACATACTGAAAATGTTTCAGTTTAAGACAGGGCACAAATTACAGCATCAATAATTTCATAGGAAATATCGACATGGCAGTGGCACGTGATCTCCTGAGGTTGAAGCCAAGAAGGGATGTTTCAGTGTTACCTGATGGAATAGTCGGAGTAAAAACTCCAAGATGCTGAATCTTCGTGGTCGGAGAACACCCTCTCCAATAGGTCAGTCATCATCAATTGTTGAAATGTCACACACCAAGGTAATATTTTTGTGATCCAAGTAGAATGACAGTTGACTGGGTTCAAGTTTCACAAATATCCAAGTCCAAATGAGGGTTTCTTTTCAAAAGGCAACTCCAATGGAAACACACAAATAAGTGCAGAAAGCACTATCCGAGTAGCCATTACAATAATGGATAACAAACTGTCACAAATTTCTTGAAGAATACAAGTTGGGGAAATTCAATAGTTCAACTCAACATGGAACCAATAACATCCTTGGCTGCTGGGACATTTGTCATTTCAAAAAAAGAAAATAAGTAGGTTTCCTTCCTGGTACAATGCTTCACAATAACTGATTTCATGGAATAAGGAAATCTTGACAGCCTTTTTGTGGTACACCTTTCCCAGTATACAGGCTTGTGACTGACATGACTGAAGGAAGATAGACTTCCAGGCTCAAAGAATGGGCTGAACCCACCCAAACCCCACAAGACAATAGGTGCAAGACCGTCTGACTAGTGCAGTCTCCGTGTATGTCAATATTACAGCTTAACCAGGCTTCCATGCCTCGGACATTACAAACCATTACGGTAATTTCCTGTCAACAACTTCTCTCGACCCTATTGGTGTATTTTCAAGAGGTTATCTCCCATTGGTTGCAACATGTTGGTCGGTTTCAAGTTTGTTTGTGAACTGGGGTACATGTAAACAAACATGGCTTTGTCTTCGACTGACAGAAATATCTGAGGGCTGCAAACAGCACAGTTTATGCAAACAGCTTTGTAGAATTTGGACATGACTGGTTTGCTTTTGAATTTGTGTCATACGTTTCTTGCCGTCTGCTTCCGTACACACCTGTGAGGAGATTCTCAACGGCTGATTAACTGTAGAATTTCTTTGCCATATATCAACCAAGAAACTCTCCTGAGGGACAGATGTGACCAAACGATGTTACCCAAACAATCTACCTGTGAAGCCTAAAACTCACATTTACTAAAATATTAAAGCATGCAGTCTGTGCCAAAAACCTTTGCATCTGCTATTTCAAATAGCATCTTGACAAAATTTCCAGTGTACTTTAATGGTATTATATGGAAGATTATTTAGGACTGAAATTATACACCAATGCATCAATCAGTACATTGTGAGTTTGCATGCAAAGATACTAGTGGTGTTCCGTTCACATTTTCTCATACTTGAATACAAACGATTTTGGAACTACTGTTTTTAGTGTTTGAAACATTTGACGATGGAACATATCTGTGAAGTTGTGAGCATGTTTAATTCTTAGAAAACTCATTTCACTTAATGAAAAGTCATGACTTGAAGGCTCCAGAAAGTTTATGTTCATGATATATTAGTCATCACTTTAAAGTAGCAATTTGCATCATGTTATATTTATCTGCAATAATAACCTGAAATTTTTTTTATTTTTTTGATGACTGTTTACTGGTGATGAACCAATTATCAATTGTGACATTTCAACCAATTCCCAACACTAAAAGATACATAACACTACACATGTATGTTTCTGTATCAATACAAAACGATGCACATGCTAAAATACTAACTGTTCATTTGATGACACTCCCCATCCCATGTTTTGTCTGTCAACTATCTCAAAATAAATTCTAACAAGAAGACAAAGCCATCAATATCCCCTGCAATGGCAAAATACTCTTCATGAATATGTCTACGAGTTATGATTATGTCAAATGTGTTGGCATGTATATAGCTAAGTGGAAGGAGAGTACTGATAGGTTTCAAAGTTCTGCTCCAGAAAGGAGCACTACCACCAAATTCAGTTGAAGCCAAAATTGTTGCCATGGAAACATATTTTATTCAGAAATCCCAAACTACCAAGAGGCACCAGTTCACTACTAGACCTACCGCAGTTTATGTAGAATCCACAGAAAGAGTCACGCCGCACTCAGCAATATTTCAGCTATATGACGGCGGTCTGTAAATAATGAAGTCTGGACCAGACAAGCCTGTGATCAACAGCATGACCATCGACCCATGGAAACCGATGACATGTGTCAACCAAGCCAGCGAGCCTGACCACCCAATCCCATTATTCGCCTCCTACTACAAGCATGGGTTACTGAAGGTTCATTCTAACCCGGACCTTCATGGGTCTGATGTGAACAGAGTCTATCAGCTGGAAGAATGCAATCACCAGATCCAGGATCCTGATGAACCCACCTAGTTGATGTAGCACACCTCCATTGAGTTGTCTGATTGAATGATGACATATGGCTATGAATAGCAGCAAGGGGTTTCAGGCAAGGGACCAAGCAACTTGTTAACTTGTCTAATAATATACCTACTGAGCAATGGCTGAGCCTGGGGATATACAGTACTCATTGAGGAGGATCGACAGTAAGGAAGGGTTACCCTAACAACTGCAGATGAAAACCCTGAAGAAGCATGGTGGTGATGAAGGTGTCTTCCAATATGGTCCAGTTGCTGACAAATGTTTCAATCCTTTTGCCTTCTAGCAAGTCAAAAATAGACATGACTGGAGGTATAAGGCTCCAGATGTGTGATTGTGACAAGCAGTCATTGTTTACAGCGATCAGCTGCCCCAGCTGACTCCTTCCTTTCTGTAGGGGTGATACGGTATTCCACGGTATTAGCAGAACCGCGGTATCTTGCCTTCTGTTCAGTATACAGTAATGCAATCCAAAAATAACGTATTCTCGGTTTTTGTACCGTCATTTTATTAACCTTTTAAAACCTTTTCTAAAATGTCTGTTCTTCTGTCTAGTCATCAAACGCCAGTTTTGTTTATTCAAAATAACAAAGATTATGGTTATATTTTTCCATGTTATTAAACAATGAAAGGTTTGGTATTTGTCAAATTTCTTCATTATGATCATATCTCATATACCGAGCCGAAACGGACAGAACTGAAGGCCTTGTACCGCAATACGTACCGTACCGTGGAAGAGCGAAACATTTCACCCCTACCTTAATGCTGTCTTGGAAAGGGTGACTTTCATAGAGCTGGTATAGGATGATCTTGGTTTTGACCTGTAACCTTCCTTTCCACGAAAAAAATCACAAAGGTGAGGACTGACCCGTGTTTAGTGTGCAAGAGGTAATAAGTCCTGCACCTGCGTCATTTGAAGCTTTGAAAGTTCTACCATCACCTATAACAATTTTTGTAGTCCAGGACCCCTGAAATCTAAGAGTAGGAGTCCCAGGGACCCTCAAATACAGGACTCAAGGTAAATCCCTGGTGGTGATGACATCTCAAGCTTATTTTTTACAAAAGGTGAAACAGACAAGTCAAAAAGCTATTCTTAGTAATCTTAGAAGATATTTTTTTTTTTATATTTCAGGCATATATTATCAACTTCTAAAAGGTATATAACTTACCCTTGTGCCAAGGAACCATAGTTTGAAGAACTTTGTTTGGATTTGTCTTCAGGTGGTTTGTCACCCTGGTACATAATGGGACCAGGAAAGTGAACTGGAAAAAACAAACAAAACAACAATTGTTAAAGTGACCATCAATAGATAATACTAAATAGGATATTACCAGTATACCATGTCTCTGCAATATACTTTTCAAATGATAGTATTGCAATATGTTTAGTCTGAGAATCGGTATATTGGGTAAAAAAGATACAAGGTTGAAATATTTGTGATTATATCTATGGTTAAAATCTACACATTTGATGATGTTTCATTTTGACTACCAAACTTCATTTTGAGACTGATGTTATCAGGATAACATATATGGTTTAATATTGTTTATGACCTAATTGTGTAGAAAATGCTTCTGCATCTGCTTGTACAATCAGTGTCAGTCTCTGTCAAATTCTCCAGCTCCCAATATATCACAATACAGACAGTGTTCATTCTAGCCTGCACCATTGCGTCATTCGCGCGCTAACATTTAACATGGTTCACTATCCAGGTAACAGCAGGTCGCGTCGGCGCATCCGTAAATGTAAATCTGAAACGCAAGCAAGCAAAACTCCAAACTAAGCAGGTCTGGGGAAAACCAAAACCAAAAAAATGCCTGAATTGATTGAAAGCTATAAAAAAGTAAGTGAACTCATGCTAGTAATTAGAATTGTGTAGCTGCAATTTGACATGACCATAATATTTTCTAACTGACCCATATAACAGAGCTGGTGGGCCATGGACCCACTTTTTGGAAAGGCTGGATTGAACGATGTACTGTGTACAGGTAATTTATATCGGAATGAATTTAGCCCTGATAAACAATTTTAAGATTACAATAATAAAGAAAAAAAATGTATGATAGCAAATAGCAGCAATTAAATTAGATCAAAATAAGTGAACAAAGAAAATGAATATTTATAAAAATGAATATATTGAAAAAATAACAAATAGATTATTGTTGTCCATAAATGACAACAAGAAAAAATTATGAAAAAAAGCAAAAATCAATAAACAAAATTATGCAAGCAAAAATCAATAAACAAATATAAGACAACAATAAGAATTATTTACCATAAGCCAGCAGCTCACTTCTAACCAAACTCAGATTTTTCAACACAAAGTAGCTGGTTGTTTCTGTCACAAAATTATATATTTTCAGTGACAAGCATTACTGGTAGTTAAGGAAAATGTCTGCGATTAGCCTTAGGTAACCACTAAAAAACTAAAAATTGTATTCGTATCAATGGTGATGAGGCCTCTGTAAAATAGGTCACAACAACCTGATACAGAGTTGTCATGATCTAGTCCATCAACATAGGTAGTTAAACATATGCGCATACTACACACTAGCCTTGCACCAAGGCTGTACTGAATGGTATGCCCATGGATGTATTAATTGTATCCTTTACAGAGGCAAGTCAAGATAAGGTGACAGTCTAAGGATGCCAGTCTGTATGATGTATATTTTATATTGTTTAGGAATTTTCATTTAAACTATTAATTATTACCTAAAAGACTTGTGCAAGTCTAACTACACACCAGTCTGGTAGGAGGAAGAGATAGTCAATACATGCACCAAAAATAGACTAGCTGTGCTAGAAATAAGTGTACAATCTCAAACTTAATGCACAAAGGCCTTAGTTAGTCGGTCTCACAGTCCCTCGGTGACATTATTTTCCTTTCTGCTCAGCCCTAAATCAGTAAATGCAACTGTATAGTCTGAATAAAGCAGCACTTGATCTTCCAGAGTTTTTTTTCAATGAGGTTCCTCTTCATTTTAAATATATGTGCTTGTTACTGTTTAAATGGTAATTTACATAGACTAAAACAAGTACATTTGCTGTGAATTGCACTTGGGTAAAGACTCAAATATTTGCTCAAAGATTTTATTCTTTTCAACAGTGTTGTGGCCTATCTGTAAAATAGGTCAGAACAACAGAATGGCTATGATCTATCTTATCAGAGATTATCATGAGAACAATAGATGGGCTTGATTGGAGGATAGAATAATCATATACCTTAAAATAGATATGCTGTGCTTGAAATAACTACACAGTGAGTGAGTTAAGATTTAATGTCACATCGGCAATATTTCAGCCATATCGTGACTAAAAACAAGTAATAATTTTAGAATAAATAATGATAAATGTTAAAAAGCCTGTCGGTGCAAGACAGTAAAACAAGCTAGAATATCACAGAAATGGATATAAAACTAGTTTGTAAATCTAAAACAGTTTAATTACAGAAGACAATACAACATAAAAACAGGCTATATATTGCAAACAACTGAAGGTAGATCACCATAAAGGAGTAGGGATCATGGGGGATTTACATTTACAACATCCCTTCCCATCAAGCTGGATTTACAACATCCCTTCAGCTATTAGCAATGTTTGACAATCCAGCCATAAAATGACATATACACTGAGTTTTGGACTTACGTACCCACTCAGGAGGACAATAATTTCAGGGGACAAGGTGGATGAGCTGTAAGCCACTGCGCTAGTTAGTGCAAGGTACCTTGATCAATCATCCCCACTTGTGACATGATGTAAAAACTTTGGTGCAAACATTTCTTGCAGACTCTTTCAGTGATGTCACAAACCAGTGTGGGCTAGTAAAAGAACCCACTCATCTTCACCAAGCTGCAATGGGTACTGTGTGAGGATGAGGCTGTGTGATAACTTGCTGCGCCTAACAGGCTGCATGAGTTGAATACTCCCCAGGGTGTTGGTTAAAAAAGAATGCCAGAAAAAAGACATCCATTGATCAATGGAACACTCCAGCACCTTGAGCATGTACTAGTTGTGTGGATATGTGCGCCATATAAATATCCTATTCTATCCTTCCTAATTTTACAGCATTTTAACGCCCTTTGAAAATACAGCACTTATAACTGCAGAAAAACAAAAATATTATGCACATAGGCAACACTTAGTCATAGTCCCTGGACAGTGTTATCCTCACATCTCCTACATCACAGGCACACCTTAATGCCAACTGAGTTTTTGTTTCTATCTGAAGTCAATCCCTGCACAATCAGATCCTAGAGCACAATTTTTATTCTTCAACTGTAAGCAAACGTACATGCAATAAAGGCAGGATACTTTAGGGATGACAATTTTTATATCACTTTATTATATCATGATGTAATGTTTCCACATAGATTCATATACTCTCTGTACACTGTTGCTTGACAAAGGTATAGGACTTTTAGGAGCCTTTACCTAAGAAGTTATCCATAAACTATCTTGCCCTAATGTCCCTCACCAACTTCTAAAATGTCAATCAAACTGATCACAGTTTACAGGTGTAAACAAAATGTTTAAGAGGCATTGATCTATTATGGGGTAATAATGCATACAAAAATTCATTATTAATTATTACCACAACATGCGATAATTCAGATATTAGGAAAATATAAATACAGAATATTAGTTCCATCATGATCAGTAATAGCTTAGAGAAAGACACCAGTTTAAAGTAATAAACAATCAGGTATACTATACAAAGACAACATAGTTTTGACTGAGATGTTTTCAGATAAATCCTAGCCTATGGTAACAAGGGCCCGCCTCTTGGACACACCTTTCAGGAAGACAAAAGCTGTTTACATTTTTTTATTAGTCATTAGTCAAGTATGCTCGGAAATCAACATGGTACCTATGTATGAGCAGAAGGGAAATTAATGCGGCTCGAGGACTATGAGGCTAAAAGAAAAATATGTCCTTTTCCGGTAACCCGACCGACCCGACCCAAAATCATGACTGGAGTGCATCTTAACTCATCATTTTCATCCAAATCAAGTATGAAATTTTCTCAGTGTACATAGGGCTAAAATGGATTGCATTGAAATGGCATAATGGGCTCTGACTGACAAAACCTGCAAATAAATAACACAAACAATGATTTGATATAGAAAACTTTCAATGTTTCATCACAAGGCATTGTCACTACATGATATGGTACTCCTGAAGACCTCAGGTGCCCACCTGATACTACTAAAAAATAAACAAAACGTAAAACAAAAAAACCCCATAAAACCGACCCACCTACGCTATTTTTAAAAGCATATAATAGGAAACAGACATATATTTTTTTTGGGTGTGTGTGTCTGAGATAGACTATGCAGTGAGCGTACATGTCGTGGTGCTTGAGGTGAGGTGAAATTGGGTTTAACGTCGTGCTTGAGAATATTTCGCTCATATGACGATGTGCATGCGTGTGTATGTGCGGCTGCTTGTACTAGCCCAGACTGAAGCTGGTTTCATAGTGCTAGCCCACTGAGATACCATGCCGCAATGAAGCATGAATACCCCACTCAGACACATTATACTGACTCCGAGCCGACCAGTCCTTGTTGTACCCATTAATGCCAGGCAGAGACCAACAAGTACCATATTTTAACGTCTTTTGGTATGATGCGGCCGGGGATCGAACCCGCAACCTTCCGCTCTCCGGGCGGATGCTTTAACCACTACACCACGGAGGCGGTCTTGTGGTGCTTGAAACCTGTCTTTTGACAAACACATTTTGGGGGCTTGGGGCTTGAACGCCCACCCTTTCTTTGAAAATGACTTCTGGACCTATATTTTCATTTTGGACTCCTTGCATTAAACTGATAGCATTAAAATTACTGCTGCATGCATCAACTTTCATGGATCACATTTTCCAAGATATATTTGCACAAAGACTATAATAATAACCCCAAAATATAAATACAGACTGTTAATGGTTGTGTCAATAAAATCTGTTGGTGACAAATTAGAAGAAAAGGTCCTAACTTAAGTATGTTCGTATATATTTGTCTGCTGTATTCATGTTCCCTCAATATTCCACATAATTTATCATGTGTTGCAATGATATTGATATGAATGGTATGATAAAAATAATCAACACAGGGTTTACAAGCAAATGTTCAGTTGATAGCATGATTGAAGGCTCTTGCCATTGTAGCAGACCGACCATGGAGTCATCCTTGTGATAACATCCTTACCATGTCAGCTTGCTATCAGCACCTCTTAATCAAACCACAACATCGGTTAAATATAACAAAAAAGTGTTTTCAAATTTATTTCAATCTGAAAAACGTTTGTAACATGTGGGAGTTCTTTTTAATATTGATACGGTGAAGTTGTGAATTCTAAGAAGTCCGCCACTTACCAGCTGCTTACAACACATTATTTGGAGATTACAGTAAATTATATATATCATTGGTTTTTAAACAGCAAACATGCCATGTTTATGTCTAGATATAAAAGAATATGAAAGCGAAATCGGCATAGAAACTGACTCAAAGGTGCACAATTTCATCACCTGTGTCACCAAATACTAACAATACTCCATAATCATAAACAAAATATTCTGTTACGATAAGCCCAGAAGGTAACCGTTGACTCCCCACCAGTTCATAGTCTCACGATAACACACTATTTTCAAAAGAATCCCATCCTATTAAGAAGTAAGCCGAAGTGTATACGCGAATGTATGTATGTGTGTATGTATGTATGTATGAAAGATCGTTAATTAGGTCAAGGATTTCCCGTTCTAAAATGGCCGCTTGAAAATAACACCATATACTGCCATATCCTTCAAAATATCAAAAATCCTCACAAACCGTTGCCAGTAAGATAAAATACCACCTACTTGTTTAAATCCGACGATATAATTATACCATAAGGGAATACATAACCCCGTCAGAGGTGAAAACATAATGGAACGAGTGACACTTTTCTATACAAATTCTCACCTGTCCGTGAATTTGACAATAATGCTATTGTCACGGCCAATGCGGGCCCGAATTGTGCCTCAGTACACCCATTTTATGCAGAAATGGTTTAGAGCATGTTCATGTTGCTTCCAAACCAGGAACCATCGAACACAAATACATCCCACTTACTTAACATATCTGCACGATGTTGTCAACGTGACTTCTGGCTACATACATTTACCTCGTCACACACAAACAATATATCGTGAATATGTTACACATGAGCAATTGTAATGGAATAAAAACGTGAAAACTTACTTTACAGACAGCAAACATGCAGGGAATATGTAATTTGAACACAAACACTCTCCAAACGAAGGTTATTTCACCGTTATAAGTCCGCGTGTATCGCGTACGTCGTACGCTCAGGGGTCACAATCTTTATATTAACCTTTATGCTAATCGCGGGAAAGTGTTTCCCGAACGACTGAGTATACATGTGTGATAAGACCGCGTTGTTGAACGAAAGGATGCTAAAATGCTAGTACTTGTACAGTGTTGTTTGCGTCAATTTCAACTAAGCCCATCATGCTGTAAGTGCAGTTTAGATATCAATGATCAAAATGATTATTGAAATTGCATGTAAGGCCGGTAATATGGCTCAATATCTAAAGAGTACGTCGGGATAAATTTCTGTTTTGCTCTGTCCTTCAGAATTTAGATCTATTGTTCCAGTAAGACAAGAATAACTATGTCACTGAGCATTGTGCTCTGTATCACTGTAAAATCATGCATGTGTCATTTCATGAAATGTACTGGATCATGTGGGAAGTTAAATATATTTAATATCAAACATTCCCAGAGTGACGTGAAAATGTGTTTATTTGTACTGTTTTAAGGGACCGTTCATAATTCATGGCAAGGGGGGTGATATGATGATTTTTATGCAGAGGCAATGTGAATGCCCCCCCCCCCCTATAATTTACGTACAAAGTAAGTGATCCCCTTGCATATCATGTACAAAATCAATGCCCCTTCCCCTCCCCAAAACTTTTAAACATTATATATGACATAATAATATTTTATGTACAAAATTGCTTACCCCACTAATACACGTGTAAAAATTGCTGGACCCCCAACCAGAGCAAAATGGATCATCATCTCTTTCTCTTATTGAATGCACTCTTTAAAATAATACATGTTGATGCGATGATCTGGAGATTTTACGCGCGCTTTACCATGTGCTGCAAATGCATATGCATTTTTATCTCCCCTGATTTCTTCATGGGCTTCACACATTGTACCCATGTGGGGATTCGAACCCGGGTCTTCGGCGTGACGAGCCAAAGCTTTAACCACTAGGCTACCCCACCGCCCCCTGTGCTATCATATGAAGATGTCTCCTCTTGTTAAAATTTATCTTTTTACACAGGAATCCCAAGATTTACACATCGTAAATAGAATCATAATTTATAAACCTGGGAAATTAAAAAAAAAAAGGTTAATTGAGAACAAGTAGACACATGTGATCACGTGTGCCACATGAAAAATGTAATGACCAAAAAAGGATGCCATTAAGTAATTTTTTACATTATTTTTGTTAGAATAAGCTGTGTTTATTAATATAAGGTTCCCGCACAAATCTGGAGCTTGGCGCCTGACGCACGTTAAAGGGAGATAACTCCTATGTATAGCGCTTGGGGCTGATCTCGTTATCTTTAATAACGGTATAAATGCAAGAATTAATCCTGGAAGAGAGTCATTCCGAGATTTTCGGACAGTGTCGATGTTTACCGAAGGGCGACCAGACGTTTGTTCAAAACGGAGGGTAGTGCTAATGCGAGGGTCAGTGGTCAAATATGAAATGCAGTTAGACAAACTGAATAAGAAGAGCAGAAGGCCAAAAGAATAATCTACAAGCTCAACACATTGGTTTTTTGGAAAAACGTAAGGTTTGATTGAACGCGCGTTCAAATAGTCGGGCTGTCCGGTTTTCGATAAGGCTTTTAGCACCGTGAGTGTCACCCCTTGTGTATTTTATGCAATGAGTGTAGCCCCAGGTTGTTGTTTTTGTGTGGTGTTTTTGTTGTTTGTTCTTAACACCACACTCAACAATATCCCAGGTCTATGGCGGCGGTCTGTAAATAGTCTGGACCAGACAATCCCTTGAGCATCGGTCAGATGGCATACGATACCACGTGTCTGCGAGCCTGGTTATTGTTGTCATTATTTTTGAAAGTCCATTCTTGTAAACGTATGTTATTGTTGTTGAAGGAAATTCATATCAAATTAACTTTGTACTTTCAGCTGGGATTGAGACACCAAATGATATTCTTAAAACCAGGAATATAAAATTTTAAAATTTTCACCTAGACTTACAGGAAGAACGAAGCGGCTTCAGTTCGTTATGGAGAAAGGAAGCTTTTCTGAAACCAGACTATTAGACGAAAGGAGTGAGTGAGTATGATTTAACGCCGCTCTTAGCAATATTCCAGCAATATCACGGCGGGGGACACCATAAATAGGCTTCACACATTGTACACATGTGGGGAATCGAACCCAGGTTCTTACTTCTTGCATAGATTTTTAGAGAGAAGGAGGGGGTGGGTGGGGGTTGGGGTATCCACTGTCCGGCAACAGCTGTAGCAGCGGAGGTGTACTCAGATGACACAGAATAAACGGTTTTGCTGTGTTGGAACCGAGAAGGAGTTGTCAAGTTAATACAGGAATTTGAAATGGTACAATGGTAACCGGAACAATCCGTTGTGTTATACTGGTATTGCAGAGAATGATACTATATTTATAAACTAATAAGAAACCTTTTGATAAGTACTTGTAGAATTGAAAATACATTTTCGGTAAAGACCAATCATTTAAACTACTGATTACTGCATAGGCCACGTGTAAGCATGCATTTTCCACCCACGTACTATAGCTATACTCTCCACTTTTCTTCTCACACATCCTGTGCAGCTAACATGTAATTGTCTCTCCTATCTACGCGCTGCTTCCCGTGGGCATAAACAAAATAAAACGTGTTTGAAACAATGTTGAAAAATTAGACAATTCAAACAATAAACCCATAAATTCATAAAACATGTAATCAACTTTGTCACAGTATTGAGAGGGAAACACAAATTACAGTGTGAACGACAGCTGCCTGTCTATATAGCACGTCGCCTGGGACAGCTTCCTTCAGCTGATAGGAAACTACGAGGGAGGTTGACAACGCATTTTTTACACTCAGGGGCGGATACAGCTTTTTGAGAAAGTGGGGGTGTACACTCTTGAGAAAAGAGGGAAGGGTGTACACTTCATTTTCACCCGTTTTCAATGGTCATTTAATAAATTTCAGGACAAAGGGGGTGCACACCCCTGCACCCCACCATCCCCACCCCACCCCTCTGGATCCGCCTATGACACTAGAGCTTTTACAGAATCTACAGAATCCTGTGTTATTATCCAAAAACAACCCACTAATCCCGCTCAAAAAACAACAATCAGCCATTTCGTGACCCTTTCAATATTCACTGTAAGTGCTTATGTTGACAAGCATGGAAAACACGTACCGTATCTAGATGCACTGGACACTTGACACACATTTTGTAAAAATTGTAAAATCAATAGAAGAAATTTTGTTGGCCAAAGCTGTGCAGGGTATGATTAAAATATAGGAAATTGTGTCCAAACACTTTCAGTAGAGATGACGCTATGGGTGTGTAATAAAATATTGCTTCAAACATTTTAGAAGGAATGTTAATGGAGATCCTGAAGATGACAAGAAACCCGGCGGTACATAAAGAGGCCAGTGCGTGCGTGTGTCTGTGATTTGACGTCATGAGCCAAGATTCAGGAAGGTCATCTGAACCAACTGGCGCTATTATGGGTTATGCTTCAGACCACAAGCTCATATAGGAGGATTGGCTTCAGTGAGAGAACAAATCGAGCCAATCAAATCTTACTCGTGCATATTCCAAAATGTTTTTGTTTCAAAATATTCCACTGTTGATAGAAATACACAACACCACAGAACCAGAGACAGAAGTGCATCAGATCCTGAATCGGTGTCTGTGGTGTTGGCAATGGCTTCGTGGTAGGAAACACGCACGGCTGTGGAATTGTGGGCGTTGTACACCGTTACACTTATCATCCAATAGCGTTTCTATATAAGGTGAACTACGCACGCAGCGACTCTAAGACAGCTTCTGTATCGATTATTGCACAGTCCGGATCCTATTCCTCCAGGCTCATGTTAACCAACATCTGACACAAATCTCTGTACATTCAAAGGGAGATAAATGTTATTTCTCAGCAGTAGAAACGGTAGCTCAGTTTCAGACCTAGACTTGCACAAGTCTCTAAGGTAATAATTAATAGTTTAAATGATAACTTCTAAAAAGTATAAATATCCCTCTAACATACCTGCGTCCTCGGTGTACTGTCCATTCATTACTGTCCACAGACATAATCAAAGTGTAGGCAGAATGAGAAATCTCAGGCCACCCCTAATTTAGAAATGAACTTGCCCATGACAATTACATAACACAATATTTATTGTGTTCAATATTATATTTATAGTAGATAACATGATATATATGAAATATAGACATTTTAGACCAGACATATTACCTGAAATTTTATATTTCCCTGTCACGTAAACCAACATTAAAACTTTATTATATTCTTACAATTAATGGAAAAGGCAAAATACCCAACTGAGTTTGAGTGAGGTGGGTACAATGTATTTGGTTACTCAAAGGAAAATTAGGATACCCAACTGAGATGAACACAAGCGAGTACATAACTCAATGACCCAAAACGTTATCTGTAGCTCTGGCCATGCCTGGTCATGCGTCGCTGAATCTTACCTGTTCCCATAGTATTACCGAATGGTATCCTACAGGGTGTCCCCCCCATTACCCCTACACTCTCAATTCACGTACACTTTTTGGGGTCGAAAAGGGTTCACTCCCAAAAGACAGACCACCCATAAGACAGACTCACAGAGTACACTAATTAGCTGAGCCATGCTGTCCACCCCTATTTAATTACTGAGCTGATCCAGTCACTACAGAGTACAGTAACATATTACAAATCCTTTTGCAGAACCGAACCGAAATTTTATCCACAAAAATCACATATAGTGACACAGAGAACACACAGCATACTGATTCATATTAAAACATCGAACAAAGTCCAGTTTGGATAAATTTGGCAACTTTAGAGTTAAGTGGTGAATAATCACATTTCATTAGATATACATTTTTTTCAATAGAAGGATGTTTACAGAAATATTGGGGAAGAAATTGATTTTTGAGGGCATTTAGTGTTGGACAGTATAATAAAAAGTGAAGTTTATCACTGACATCTAAATTCACAATATGTTTCCATTCTTTCAAAACTGGTCAAACACATTCAAAGATTTTCGCA